TCTCAAAAGCTCCGGCAGGGGGGCCTCTATTAGAGAGGGGCTTGCATTGGAAGGGGGCTGCTATCGGAGGTTTTACGGTATTTTGTGTCGCGCGCGGGAGACATGTTCGATACTGTTTTCATTGATCCACGAAGATATGCTTTAGCATGCGATGCCATGCCGATTAAGGCTCTCTGATGATTTCACTATTCGCGCATTTTGACGTGAAACGTCTTCAAATTTACTGAGGGGTATTTCCAACTAAACTTCGTCTTCGTGTAACGAAATCTTGTCCGCTTTTGACATCTAATAACTCTGCGAATGCGACACCAATTATCATGATGAGGTTTTCGCTGGTAGAATGGAAATTTACGGGAGAACAGCTGTGTATATTCCTCACGATATTCTGGAGTATGGGTTCTGCAAGATGAGCTCGAATCTGACCCCCCACGAAGAGGTGTAGAAAACCGCATAAATAACTGATTTATTCGGTATAGACTGGGACCTAACCGATTTATTCAGTACAAGCTCTCTTTATCAGTGCGGCAAGACTCTCGTAGGCGAATCAATGTAGGTCTCACCAATTACCGCCGGAATCTCCACAGTAGAGTCTCGAGAGCCGATCGAAAATTGGGGATCTGGGATCTGGTTCTGCAAATGATGGAGCAGCGACCGGCCTCAGAGAGAGGAATCTCGAAAGGGTCGCCGATACCCCAGATGGAACTGCGGTGTCACACGCGATGCTTTTAACATAACCGTTGATTTAACTCGATCAGGGAGAAGCTGAAGCCATCTAGATCTAGAGGAGTTTCTCTACACCGCCTTCGAATGGGGTATTGAAATTAGGTTTCCAAGAGAGGTTCGGACCTGAACGAAGCTGCGACAACGCCCGGAAAAATCAGCTTATTATGCGAAGTAATCGTGATGAAAAGTAGACTTATCCTGAGCAACAGTATCCCAGTGAACGGCGTGCTCTGTGAGTCCGTCACGCTGAAGTTTATGGCGGCGACCAGAAGCGAGTGTGCTATAGACATGAAACTTAGGTTGCAGAGAATTGTTAACGACTCTGGAGGACTAGATAATAACGTTTTTTTCAAACATGGGAGACGGACCGATCGCGAGACACCCGAGCTCAGCGGCAGAGCAGAAGGCGAGTAGGCATATCATACGCGAAATAGGAAGGAAGCTCGTGATATTCAGGAGGAGAAGTTGCCCGGCGAGAAGGGGAGGATCACGGACGACCGTGCTTCGCGATGGCGCCAACGAACGGGCAGCCCCAGTCGGCCGCAGGTCGGTTGGTTCCTCATAGCTTTCAGTAAACCCACTCCTTACACAAGCGACATGGCTCGGCAAGGTCACAACATGTGGTCTTCGAGATTCGGAATGGCTTTCGAGGCGTCGGGAGGTGTGCTCTCGAGCGTGGACACCGAGAGCCTCAATGACTGATTAGAGCAGCGTTTCTCAAACTAAAGGGACGCGGCTCCCGGATTAAAGGAAAAAAAGCTCACCAGAACTTGATTTACACAACCGAGCACTGACCGCTCCTCGATCATGGGAACCCCGTCCAGGTTCCATGTAGAATCGGGAGGACACCGATTGAATAAAGAAAACTTCACATCGGACGAAACCGTATCATGTGTACCTCGATGATTCTGGTGATATACGAATCAAGACCTAAGGATCCTTCGGGGCAATCGAGAATGCGTTTCACGTCCAAACTTACGGTAGTGTCTCTGACACTACCTGCCAGGGGCTTTTTCCTTAATCGGCTAACTTAGGACGCTGTTCTTCCCTCCCGCCCGATTCATGTCCGGCGCAACTTAGGATCACGCACGATCTCGGTACGCGGTGCTGGTTTTTGTGCGAATTTAGTTTGGAGCGAGTGTACGCGATTTCTGATAAAAGGCCTCTCCAAACTTTCCGATATATACACATATATCGGAACATATAATATCGATGAACATATCTTTGTGTATATTCAGCGTCTCCAGCCGGTTGATGCTGCTTGAGCCCCGGAGATCGTTCATGGCGGGTCTGGATTCGTTGGGAAGCCTAGGTGTCACAGGTGATCGTTCGAAGTGCTCACGAGAAAAAACTCTACAGAGTTCCTCTCCCGGTCTCCTCCTACCCCGCTCGTGAAATATAACTTTGAATCGCGACGACTCATAAATGAGGCAAGCGTTTGAGACTCTAAATGTTTCCGATCTAGCCATCGGGCCTGACTAGCTCCGAATTCTCCAAGATAGTGGCTTCTCGAAGCGAGGTCTCAACCCCACCTCAGGATGAGCGAACAGCTTTCGTCCGAATAGACACCTCTGATAGGTCGGGCGTGGTTGAACATTGAGGTGGGGCACGGCGGAAAATGTGGGAGAAAACCTGACTTGGATGGTCTTCGTGGGATCGCTTCTTCGAGGAATGGGCTGTGTATGCTCGCTGCGAATCACGAATTTCCATGGGCGTCACCGAATAGAGATTCGATATCCGATCTTTGGAGGCTGCACGCACATTCCCCGCCAATCCAATTCCTCACTCCGAAAACCCACCTAGGAGTGGACATCGAGAGAATTTTCTCCAATCAAGGGAGTGTGAGGGCTCAATATCATGAAGAATGTACAATCACAAGCATTCTCGGAAGATCCCGCTGCCCATATCCATTGCCGGTGGAAACGAAGAGCGAAATTACACCTCCTCTCTTGACGTGGGTTCGCAGAGTTCGACTTGAGAGAGACCGACAAATCGGTACGATAGGACTCGAGAGGCTGGTATCGCTGAAGGAAAGACGCTCTGAGGTCTCGTCTTTCCGCCATGTCACACGCGAAAGATGCGGGGTAAGGTCGGATCGATGCTGCGAGCCAGCTGGACAATCTCGTAGCAGGGGCCGGCAGAACGGATTCGAACCTCATGGTACCGGAACGGATTGGCGCCCTCGGACGGGCTGTGACAGAACGCCACTTATGTACCCAGCCGCAATCTTTTGTGGATTCTATCTGTGGTCTCACCTTCATGACGGTGGAGTACAAAGTGACGTGCAAATTTTTCCGGCTGAGGTGCGGCTCGAGGAAAGCACCAAAGGAGTTGACTCGCTGACCATCTCGAACGGTCGACTAGAAATGGAACGGGAATCAGCTTCGGAATTCTTTTGGGACACCGCGGTCTTGCGACATTCAATCGCAACACAAAGTTGTATCTCTGCTGAACTCAGATTACCTATCATTCTACTTAGGCTTACTTGAAGATGGTAAAATCCCGAGTCATCTCCGTCATTTGTATCGCTGAAAGCGAAACCTTCTCCCTTCGCGGCCTCAAATAAAGCATCCTTCATAGCAGATTTTTCTCGGTACGTGTGAACGCCCAAATCGCCACTGAGACCGTGGAACTCATCTAAAAAATGGTTTCCATGACTTGCACACCGAGTGTCACGAACTAAATTCTACCAGGCCGTCATATGTATTTAAAGAGAAGCCATACTCCGCAATTCTTCATCGTCTGTGCGCTCGTCTAGCGTGAAGATCTTCAGAGCTTTTTCCCAGTTCCATCCTTCGGCACCATATTTTTTTTCCCAATTGTCGAAATCGGACCGAGATCCTCTCTGATAAGCCATGAAGTTCACCGTGGAGCCTCCTCCGATCACTTTTCCGGCAGACATCGTCCGTCTCTAGGAAGAACAATTCCGAAAGTGTGATTCTGAGAAACTTGGGGCTCCATCTCCCGACAATAGATACATTCCTTCGGAATATGTACTGATGTAACTGAGTTCCAGAGAGAATGAGAAAAGACTCTCAATTCACCTGATCGATGTTCGAGAGCATGGCAAACTTCTGAGGCTCGGACCTGATATTCCAATCGAATTCGGGGTTTGTGAGAGCCAGGGGTGCCATCATCGGGATATGAGAGCTGAAGGGTGGAGGACCACCGGCTTCGATCAAAAGCACCCTGAAGCGTTGCACCGCGGAAATTTTTTCCGCCAGTCGACAGCCGGCCGATCCTCCACCAACTGAGATACATGGAGAAGGAGGACTTAGAACAAGCCGAACGATCCCGATACAGCGCGGGGCAGATGGGAGATATTCCTGCGGGAGCGGATCCGAGCTTGTGAAATCCTTATGCTCGTCGGTGACCACTCACCGATGATGAAATCATATTCTTCGAGCAGATCGCTAGTCCGCGTTCCATTGTAAGAAGCATTCACAATTTGCAGTAAAGAAACCGCCAGCAGGCTCAAACAAGCGTGCATGACCGAAAGTCTATGCTCCAAGCGCTGGGTCTGGTCAGCGGCTAATGCTCATCGAATACGCGTCAAAGAGAACGCTGTGTTGTCTTGTGGTCCCCCTTTCCAAATGGAAATGAGAAAGTAACGCCCTCCAGGTTAATAACCCTGTTGATACGACGCGTATTGATAGCGGTCGCCAATACTTTTGGAAGACGCGACTAGAAGCTCCCGCGGACCGACTTCGCCCGAACATCCTCAAATCGGTTGATTATCGAATCGGTCGGCCAGCCAACCCACCCGTTGACATGGTCGGGGACGCTCGATGAGTGATAGGTCAGGTAAGAGAGAAACTGTGCAAAGTTGGCCTTGAGTCGTCCGGACCCGATTTAGTGTTCGGGCCTTATCACGGTGAGCCTTAGAGCCAGACTGGCGCCATTGATTCGAGCTTCTCCAAAATCTACTCCAGTCTCTCCTGATGCCATTTCGTCATGTTTCCCCGTGCAATGCCGTTATCGTCATGAACCTAATGCCTATCTAGTGCATGTGCATCTTCATGTGCACCGAGCGTGAATAACCTGCTCCGGAGTGATTTTGAGAGCTCGGCTATAGTATATGCTCTGAGCTAACCTTTTCTGAGTCCCCAACAGTTCAGTCAGAATGAGAATTCACCCGTATAATATCTCGGTACGTCCGTTTCGAAGCTCGTCCAATATCATCTAGCCAGAGACGGTCCGATCCAAGAACGACGGGAATGTGCTTGCTCCCGGGACTCCTCGTCGGCCACAGTGAGACCGTGGCCGCACAAGTGCATCCTTGGTGCGAGCGTCAAGGCCTGGGAGACGATCGACTCTAATAGGATTCCGTTAGATCTTTTCCAACTGAATACAGAGCGATTGCATCCTGTTTCTACAAAGGTTCCGGGTTTTATTCTCGTCCAAACGACACATCGTCAATTTCTTACAAGGAATTACTTACATAGAATAGGCAAACGTGGTTTATCTTGTCGGAACTCCGGAGAGGCGTAAATTCAAAGTGTTCTTCTCGTTGGAGATAATCGCGCTCCGCATCAACGCATTCGACCTCGCCTTTGTAAATAAATTTGTACATTTAGTTTCACAGTTTCACCCACCAACTTCTCCGACTCTCACGGCTCAGAAAAGCTTGGAGAACCTTGGTGATACGACGGCTATGGGAACGATGATGACACTTTCGACTAAGTCCATGACTACGTTTGCAAATTCCGTCTTGGTTAAAGCCGGCTCTTCGAGCTCCTATGTATCCGTACGTATGAAGCCCTGAACGCTCCATCAATAAGCCATCCGCCCACCTTATCCTAGGCTTGTCGTCAATCGATTCCCGACTTCGGGTTGAATCACTGGCGGTATCATTCGAGAGCTGCTAACATAGATGGTGACACCTCGCTCGAATGCTGAACTTATCTTAGTATCTAAACAGGAGGCACTTGCTTTGATGAGTAGGCCGGTGATCATATTTCCCGATGGCTTGAAACCGTTCCCCGAGCCAGGCCTCTGACCATCGGGAGGCTCTGTCCATCAATCGTCGGGGAAGCTTCGCGCCGACGATTGAGGGGAACATTTGTGAATCAATCGCAATTAAATAGGCTTCGTCCGATTTTCGAGACAACTAGATTTGAATGTTGTTGCTGTTGTTGTTATTATTGTTGTTGTTGTTCTGTCGGGTCATGCTGTCTCCCGAGAGGGCCGTCAAGGTGTTGCTGCCTCCGAATACGCCGCCCGGCTGACCGTTTTGTTGTTGAGGGTTGTTGTTCAGGATCAGAATCTGGGGTTGCTGGATTAATTTTTGGTACTCATAGAAGTCGCGGGCACTGCAGAGCGGAGTTTCCACTTCGTATGTATTGTTGAACTTCGAATAGTCAACCAAATATTCCGATGAATCACGCTGGAAACGTACGAGCTGCTCGAACCTGTGACCCCATAGAATCTCTGATGGGAGATAGCTTGACCTGTGCGGGGAAAAGCATCCCGTGAGAGAGACGGTGGAACTTGAATCATTCCAATTCCACGCTGCGGATGAGCCCCTGTCTTACATAGCGTTCTTAGACGGTTGAAGTATATTGGCCGCCGTACTGAAACGAACCTTGCTTGGATCGACTGCCCGGTCGATTCTATTGTACCCTCGAGAACGACCACTATCTCAAAGCGATCCTTCATGATGTCTTCAGCCGACAGCGTATATAGTGGCGAACGCTCGTTGATCTCGTGTACGATGGTAGCCGGCCAGATGAAAAGAATAGATTCGTTTCCGGCGTCGAAGCGAACATCGAGTGTCGTATGGTAGTAGGGGATCACTTCACCCTCCTGAGTCACCTGATGACAGAAGTCATTCGCCATTGACATTTTCGAATCGAAGTTTCCCCTTTATGACGGTCTGCAGATCTATCTCGAACCTTCCCGATTGGCAACTGGCTTCACTCGAACAGGGGGAACTTACTTTGCGTTTGATTATCTGCGCACTGATATTCGTCCCGATTATGTGTGACTTCCGCATGTCTCCCACACGGAACAAGAGACAGAGCTTCCCGTCGCGCAGACAGATCACTGCGTGCCGACTGAACAGAAGTGTTTGAGAGCGTTTCTTGGGCCGCGATAGTTTCGCGAACACGATGCCCACCATAAAACACTGAATCATAACTCCAACCACTGACTGGAGACACAGAATGAAAACAGCTTCTGGGCACTCTTCAGAGATGTATCGGTTGCCATAACTGAAAGAGAAATGAAGTCGGTCAGTCCCTTGGAGTGTGCCATAGCTAGAATCTCTCCGCGTCGAAATGCATGCGCGGGATTCCACAGCGGCAAATCACGCGTGATCACCCAGAGTGAGCTCCACCGAGCCACGGAGCATTTCAACGGCTCGGCTTCGTCACGGAATGATTCCTCGCTTGTCTACTATGAACCTCCCTTCGGCCTCACCGCCTCAAGGGTTGAGAGGCTTCGGCGCGGATATCGCCAACTGGAGCTCGAACGGCCACGGGTTTGGAATAAGTCATCGACATAGGCCTGTGGAGACCTTGAAAGCTACCATCACGACGGCTGACCGCGGGTTTCGGAAGGCGGCCTTGCGCTCGCTGCGGCGGCGATGCGGTCCATACATATCTGCGCGTGATTGATTCAGCGCTCAGGCCAGTGGGCCATCCTTTTTCGTCGGGAATCCCTCGGGTATAGAAATCCGGCCATCGCGTTTTATTCCGGGAAGTGTGAACGGGGAGACGAAGAACTTCCGGCCCCGTTGGAAATCGGGCCGAGTTCGCGGGACTTGAGTTGGTTTCCTTCTTGTAGTTCTCGAACGGAGATGGGATGTCGCTCGATTCTCAGTATTATTGCGCGGAATGACCTGACGTCGCAATATCCCGCCGAAATCCTTGCTGCTCGTACAAATCATTCGTAAAATGTAGCATGTATCGGATATCTTTTTCGTTCTCATTAGTCGATCATGCAGGACGATTCGGATCGTGTTGGACAGAGATGCCCCACGCGCTTTGAACGCATAGGAGGAGATAGATTGTGAGTGAGTCTGTGACCTCGCTCGTCACGGAACGAGCATCTATAAACAACGGAGCTTCCCCGATCTTGGCCGTGCTGTTTTCGAGATATTGAAACGGTCATGTAATTCCTTGACATTGGACATCTCACTCTCTTCCCGTCGCTTATGGTCGTCTCGACGAGATCTGTCTTTGTTTGCGTGAAACCGACTTTGTTGTTACGATGACCGCTCCTTCCTCTGATTAGGGAGGCAAAGGGCGTCGAAGCCCGGAATTCTCGGCCGGTGAAATGGTGAAGAGTCCGGAAGAGTTCGTCGGGGCTATGGAGCCCATTCTCGGTCCGTAATTCTCGTCCTGGCCATTGATGGGGGCGATCAATGAAACCGATAAGCTTGCTTGAGGTACGTACCCGATAGTGTGCTGCGTCTCCAGAGAGAAGAGGAATGCGGCTGTGAAGGTTGTGACTTCGGTGACACACGGTTTCCAGGTTTCATTCTTGGAGTTCGTTTCTTCGAAATCTCCGTGCGCGAACATGATGAGCCACCAAACAACAGCGAAAATGAGCCATGAAACAATGAAGCCCATAGCGAATACGAGAAGGTTCCATCGCCATTGAATGTCGACCAGTGTTGTGAATATGTCCTGAAATCGAGAACGAATGTTGAAATCCCCTCGTGTCCCCACAGCTGCGTGCCCCATCGATACGGAAATCAAATCAGCGGATTTCATCCGGATTCGCTTTGACGCCGAAGATCTCCCGCTCCCGCGTACGTAACCCGCCTGTTACGATCAGAGATATCGAGAGAGATAATCCAGGATCTGCGGTGAAGGGAACCCCCGAATGACGAGCGCTCGAGTATTTGTCGGTGACGCTGGAAGTTCCTTCCGAGAACTTCTATGCAATGTCCCCGAGCCAAGTTCTCGAGTGATCGCGGGATGCGACACCGAGGAATGAAATTGCTCTGCTCGAGGACGTCCGATTTACCGCTACTGGGCCGCGACAAGTGATCTCATAATAATCGATCTCTTACGGTACGGGACTGCTTATCTGACAGAACGCTAAATGATACAAGCGACTTCCTGGGAAGAGGCCTCCGCCTGGCCATCGTAAGTGGAGCCCTCATCCCGTAGTAGGACCCATTTCTCGTCCAAGATCAAAAGGCATTCGAGCCGAGAGTTCTTCAGTGAGGATATTAACTTATTCGATTGGATCGGATTAGAAGCTTCGCTCGATTAGAGAAGGGACTCAAAATCATTGGGACGAAGTCCAAGACTTGCCAAGTATCGCAGACAGAGCTGTAAAGAGAAACGACTCAGTGCAACCTGGATCGCCGAACGAGCAATCAACAGGGCTATCCGTTTCCTTACTGTTACCGGGCGATTTCGACTGGATGTTGATTCCAGTAGCGACAGGTCACCCGAACGAGTGGAGCAAGCCACCGTAAAGCCTCGCGGGAAGTTCTGCGCTAGATTGGTTAGCCTGAATTGGGACTCTACTTGAACCCGGCGGATGGACCTGACTCACCTGGAGATATCTTTGACTGCGTTTATATACATGCTCCTTGGACAGGTTGACATTCCCATTTTTGAAGATGACACGTTTTCTCACCCGGCTGGGAATCACTTTTGTTTTCTGATACCTGCAATGGTCTCGCTATCAATTCCGGCTGTTAGCTTTTCCACAGTGAAACCCGCAGGAATTCGGACCATGAACCTATTCGAATTATTTTAATTTTACAGCCTATCCACAAGAAACATGCAAGCCGAGATTCGCCAGATTTCGGAATGACGTATCAGTGCGGAGATTTCCTAAATGAGGGAGGTAGGTACCCGATCAAAGATCCCAGTCAAGCTCGGACATCTAGCTCCATTCAACCGCCTAGGGAGGCCGAGTAAGTCTGCATCGGATATATTCTTGGAAGTCCTCTTCGCCGGTAAACGCTCGTTGCTCGATGGTTTATGAGCATCGCCCACGCGAAATGATCAGAACACGAATTGCCCCTCGGGAAAGCTTAACTCTTTTCTCTTCTTTAGAAGTGCAACACAAGGGCAATTACAAAGTCTGGAATCGAAGATAGTGGTGTGTCTCACTATCTTGAATTATAGAGACGGACACGATTCAACGATGGGCTCGATGATGTCGCAAAGGATTCCGACGCGATCGTAAAAAGAATTTATGATCACAGAAAATATCCACAAACGTCGGAGCACTCTTCGTGAGCAAATCGACTGAGCTCTACCATGCTCTCGACCCCCACTGCTGCGGAGCACCTCCGAAACCAGAGGGGTATTGCCCAAAAGCGGACTCAGCTTCTCCGCCTCCTCGGGGATCTAGTCTAGCTACTCCCGATTCGTAACATTCCCCGAGGAAACTCCTGTCTATCTGGAAGATTCGCAGTTTTTACTCCGGGTCTCTTCTCGGTACCAGCTTAGCGGATATTTCACAATATGAAATGGAGGGCTCCTCGAATCGTCCACCTGAACGATTCTCAGGTCTCAAAGATTAAGACCATACCGAAGGAGGCCGCTTCGATCTCGCAATAATCGTCGAGACTAGACAGACAACTTGACAGCTCGTCGGAGTGTCGGGTCAGCTAACCTCCTCTCAATAGGAACGACTCGGTAGTAACGTATCCCGTTCACCGCAAGCGTCCAATTCGGAGAGGACCCATTCGCTCACTCAACGAGTGATAGTCTTTTGGTAGAGCGTACAGAGCGATTAAACGTGCGGCGACGATTAGTCTCTCGCCGATGTCAGTCGTATATGAGAAGCACTCGATGGTCGCCAATATCAGGGGATTCCGAAACAAACAGTTCCCACACGTAACCTGATCAGATTGATGACTGCGTGATTTCTGTTCGAATGTCGAAACGGTCCGTGTGAAAACCGGACCAGCGAGCGAAATGCATCGACACGATCCCTGCTCTATCGCTGTCGGCTAGGAGCTCTCGTCCTGAACAAGCGTTCATAAGGGAATTATTCAATGTGAAATCGAATTTTCATCAGTTCAACATAGTCTGCTGAGTTTGGCGGACTCCCAATCGATCGAAATTGGCCTCGACACTTAATCAGTCATTGCTTCCCGCCGGCCTCGGGGTAATTCGGAGCGATCTGCAGAAATTCCCGATGAATTCTCTAGATTCCGTCCCCCCTGACCGAGCCAAAAGGGAAGAGAGCTGCTCAGTGTTGAACAGAGAGGAACTCCGCTCGCTCTCGGCAACGTCACGAGTTCCAATCAATGCCTCCGCGAGCCTAGCTAAGCCTTTGCATACAAGCGCCTATCTAACGCTCAAGAATTTACCCACACCACACGGTTGAGAAGATGGCTCATGATCGGCCCGCGCTTTGATGTCGGAAGGTCTCGGCACAGTCTCCTTTGTTTTTGGAAACAACTACGTGAAACGTGACACTATCTCGCCCTCTGCGCCGGAGGAGCGTCACTCTTCACTGAAGATTAAACACCGTGTGCATACCGACTCTCGTATCGTAGCAGCCAGTCAATCAAGGACTGTACAAAATTGCGCACGAGATCACAGAGAATCAATTCTCAAACCACAAAACTAAGAACTTTCCGATCGGGATCGAAGACGCTCATACCAGAACGAGTTTTCCGGAGCTGCGCATTTCTCGGTGTGCGCGCACAGTCCTCGGTCGCGTCGGAATCGTCGCCGAAGTTTGAGGAGAGTGTTGGGGAGAGCACCTCTGGACCCTGTCAGGACTGTTCGCGGCTTCGACGGGAGTTGCAGAAGCAGCGTCAATGACAGCCAATGACTCCGAACAAACGTCCCACGCAATGGGCTACCGATAGATACATCGATAGGATAATGGCAAGATTTCGGCCAAAATTCCCATCATTGCAATGACGACCAGCGTCAACATTACCGTTTTAATGACACGTCCTCAAGGAAATCGGACCGGACCTTCTCACCGTCAATCGATTACGTGTGTCAGAACCTCAGATCGATCTGACAAGCCTTCGTCATGATGGGAAATACACCAAGTGCACATCGGATTTTCACTCGTTTGGACTCGGCCTTCAACAAATCTCGCCGGCGCGGAATCGGGGAATGTCTGAAGCGAAGATCACCGTAGTTCTCCGGATGAAAAAAGGCGGCGTCCAGTTCGATCGGACCCATTGATGAGAAATACATATATTCGATTCCCTGAAGAATGTGAGCGATAATGAAGTTCCGCGACAATGGCATGACGATGACGGGATGGAGGGTACCAGAAGATTCTATGGAAACACATAAGAGAATGCTCGACCCATAGACGAATGATGCAGCGGAAGCAGATAGGGTGCTCTCCACATTTCCGACAAGCGCTGGTACTAGCTTAGAAGTTCAAGGCAGACTGTCGTGTGCCGGTACCACAAATGATTAGTCGCACTGGTTTCAGCCGGATGAACCAAAAAGGCGGGAATGTACTACAGCTGGAATTTCTGAGAGCCATGGGCCACAATTTCGGGCTCCGAATCGCTGAGCGAATGATTCCCCTAGTGCCGGAAACATTCTGGAGAGAAGCATAACAACTTCGCGAGATCCAGCGTATGACGGATTCTGCCTTGTCAGATAGAGATCCTTTCCTCCTCAGGAAAAAATCATGTCTCCTCTCGAGAAGAGCTATGTCATCTCACATACAGAATATGGAAAATTCCACCTCTCCATACAATGATTCCGATGGACGACCATCCAAGCCGGTCATACTTGTTGACTTCACGTCGACGCTGACGGATGCAAGTTTCTAGTCTCACTCAGCGAGAAGGAGAGGAAGACTGCGACAAATCCATCCAGAATAGCAGCGACGGGGCTTCTCCTGGCTACATGGACACGCGATGAGACTCGATGAGCCCCGTGAGTATTTCCGAAGTCATGCTTCCTCCAAGTTATATATACTATTGTGATTGAGGAGTTTTCAAGCTTCGAGGATGATGGACATGGTTTGATTCCTCAAGATGATCCTTCAACAAGAGACGCCATCAATTCAAATCGGCCTGCAGCTAACGCCAAATCGATCCTTGCAGGAATCGTATGGAGTTCTCACTCCTCATTTTTATTCGTGTTTTTTGCGGTTGCAAGAAGAAGATCGCTCACGAAATTGATCTACCGGGTATTCTCAGACATTCGAGCTTGCTATGCCAGGGCGAGAATGCACCGAAGCGTGACTCCGGAGGTTTTTGGGCGAGATTCGGATGAGTCCCCCGAATGGGAATAAGAGAAGTCTCGCTCTCTCATGCCCTGCCGGGAATCTTGTGCCGACGACTGACACTCGAGACGGATTGGCATCCAGAGCATCTGGAACATCTGAAGTCCGGAACATGTTCCAGAAACTCGTATATTGATGCATCGCTCATGTACCGAAAATTCGATCATCATGAGCAGGATTGTTGTCGTCTGACCGTTCTTCGACTGCAACCATTGATTTTCGGAGTATTGCGACACCACTGACATCGGAATGTCTCCAGAAATTCGGTTTTGAAGAGTCGACCGAATTTCCGGTGGGACGATATTCTTTGGTGATCGTGCTCAGTCAGCTGGAATTCTCGAACGGTCTTCGCTCTGGGGTTTCGGTATACCCAGAGCCGCTGAAAACCATCGTCGAGGTGGACTCCCTCCACGGCGGATGACCCGCGTCGACGGCGTGTCCTCTTGCATGACTTCGATGTGAAAATCTAGACCAGTCATTTGCTACAAGCAGCGATTCTTGCGCCAGTCTCCGTGACCGATTGCGAAGGCTCCAAGTACAAGCTGCATTGACGATCAATCTTTCAAAACATTCGCAAGTGGCTCATAGCCCGACAACGGACCGTAGCGACAATAACACAGAAACATACAATAGGTCGTACAGAGGGCGGAACGCTAATCTTTACGTCGATTGACTGCGCATGTGAGCGGCTGCAAGGAAGAATGGGATGCTCCGATGGCTGAAGAAAGACTTGCAAATCGACGTACATGAAGCAAGTGGTCGCTATTGAGGTCGCTCGCAACCGCGTTCATAATTTGAGTGCGGCTTGAACCGATTCGCGATCTGTCCGCGGGGAGCGGTTTCTCGACGGAATCCATAACGCTGACGAAGTTTCTGACGATCCGGAATCACCGAATTAACAAAACGCAAACGTAGCCGCGAGCTCGAAAACGCCTCTGGGTTTAGATTGCAATGAGCTGCACACAACACATCGCGGTTTCCACCGATGACGAGAACGCGGTAGCTGCACGTTCCGTGGGTACATCGAGCGTTACCCGGATGTATATGAGTATATTAGTCGCGAAACAATATCGGCCATTTCTTGTATTCCGTCGCTACCTGGTACCCGATCAGCAGCCTCAGAAACGAACCAAAACTCAGAAGCGGTTTTCGACTTCGTGGTTCACCGCGAGGCTCTGCGGCCCGGCATACACAAGTTCGTCTCACTTAGGAGAATCGTCTCGATTGAAACCTTTTTGTCCATGAATAGATCAGAGCACATGAGGCAGGTTTCCCTTATATCGATGTCAAGTAGGAAAGTTTCCCTTAATGAGAGAGTTTGAGATGTAGAATATTCTGACACTTTTTCGCATAGATATAATCACTCTCTCTCCCTTAGGCTCATTATCAAACCCTCCGTTTCTTGGTGGGGGAGGGGATGACATAGTCATCCTGTAGAAGAGAATTGACGTCCGGACCTTGGTTTTCCGTAAATACAGATAACCTCTGATTTCGACCGTCAAGAACCGAGAGATCTAAAGATCGTTTGACCGAAGTTCCCATACCGTGACGACTGGCTCTATCGGAAGAGCCCGTCCCAGCACGAAGACCAGGATTGACTGTCTCTGCTAGCATCGCTGGGAGTGAAATATCCTGATTTGATCCTCTTCTATTGAATTAAACTGCGGAATGTCGAATCATTCGACGATGGAACGATATCTGGTACCCACCACCAACTCCTCGATAGTTTCTTTAACCGAGACTCGCTCCCAGGAGTGTTTCGTCGGCGGAAGTACTTGTCGATAATTTTATTCGAATCGATTTTTGCCTTCCGCGGGGCACCCGAGTTTCTCGTCGCTCGCTGGTCACCTAGTCAATAGTTCTATCGGAACTCGCTGCAGGAAAATTAAACCGCAAGCTGGGTCGCTTCCTCGTCAGAATAAGTGCCACTCTCGCGTCGCAAGGCGAAGCAGTTGAATCAGACTCGCAGGATCCGAGATCCTAGCCACAGACCCGATTGATGTTATTCTATCCACCGGCGTAGTAGACCACACACATCAGAGGTTGGATCGAATGGAAACGTTCGACTCTTACGTATCCCAGGAGGGTCACCACAAGAAACATTCCATGAGCTCTCGAAAGCGCTTTTCGGTCGAGGGGAGCTGATCGCTTCTTTGGAACAATACGAACTCGGTGTGAATTGCGAAATGAGTGACGCCTCGAAAGAAGATCTGATTTAATGGATTGGTCAGCCCATTCACTCCTCCGGGCTCCCGGCGAGCTACACCATGAGAGTCGTCGGACGAAGTGCACCTCGCATGCTCTCTCGTCTTGAGCATGGAACCCCTGCCAGCGACTCACAATCTCGAGGTATAGTTCCGATTCCCGAATGAATTGTCTGCTTTATGTTTCACTCACCGAACCATCGGTTGCGTTTCGTCGCTATCATGGCTGCCAAGTTTGGAGCCATTTTTATGTGGGGGGTTGTAAAGGCTCGGTAGCGGCTGATGATTGTTTCGATGAATGAGAGTGCCCACCTCCGACGAAATCGTGTCATCGTTGTTTTGAGCGTGTTCCAGCCGACGGCCGATCAGCTGTTGCCAGTCTTTTTCGCTGGCATCACGCACAGAGTCGCCGTAGCCTCCCTTACTCATTCTGATGCGGGCACTCACCCCTTTTGCGTTCGAGATGGCACAACCTCCGTCAGCTCTGGAATGAATTTGGTCTTTAATTGGAGTGCTACCAGCCTATCTGAGTCCTAGCGTTCGCTCCTCTTCGGCTCCCAATTTACCCCATATATTCGCAGCCGAATGGAAAACCCGAGACAGTCTTAAAAGGTGATCAAGAAACCATCCACATTCTGAACCTACGAAAAAAGCAACAAGCCACAGCATGCGTGGCGGTAAACGGAGGTGAATCACCTGCTCTAGTACGACGGTATCGGGTATCCTCTCGATATCCTCGCGGAAGTCTATTCACGGCTGATCGGCCCGCAGGGCGGTCCCCCGCGCCGCCTAGATGTATAATATTAGCGATTTGGATTCAGCCATGGGAAAGGTGACCGATTAGTCGGAGCCTAGAGCTCCCTTTCTTGATCCGGTTGATTCTTCGATCGCGACTAAAAGCGACCGAGTCGGCATCGATGATCATCCCGGCTGGTATGCACAGGATTTCTACGGTAATCGCTTGATAGTTTCTATAGCAATCTTCGCTAGATTGGCGCGAGCTACTTTCTATTTGTGCCGTTGCGGAGGTCCACGACATGTAGCTGGTTCGATTATTGACAGCATCCAATCAGTCCCAGAATAATGTGATTTTCCCTGACTGACGTGGGACCGCGAACTGGCTCCAGACCATGGGGAATAGATTTCAGAAACTCGCGGTCTGTGAGGGTGCTTCATCGTCTCGTCCGTGGAATTCCTTGGTCGGCTTCCGAGCATCAAGCATTTGTAGACTATCGGGACGTTCGAATCACCAAACCTGCTGAAGACTCCCAGAGATACTGACGCAATATCTAAGAAACTCACATCACGGCTTCAGGGCTCATGGTGCACTCGGACTCTCTAAGAACGAAAGACTGTTGTCTACGTTCGACTGGGCTTATCTTTGTCTGGATCGGGTTACGCTTCAAAACGTTGACCATCTCCATTGGCACTACACGATCGACGATGTAGTGTCCCCGGCGCTCAGCAAGCTAGAGCACTCTGACTGAGAACTCGCTACATCTTCATGGAAGGAGCAAGCTCTTGGATCGCGGCAAAGTCGAGTTTCCTCCGGGAAAGCGTGGAGTCGTTTAGCGTCGTGTGTAATCGGTCACTCTCAGAGAGACGACAAGATTCTCTTGATGGCCAGCGACTCTGAGCGCCTGCTACTTTTTAAACTAGAATGAGGAATTGTGTCCGCGTGATTCACAGCCTTGATTGGTCGAGAGCCTACATTTTACCTTGAGCGTGATTTTCCGTTCTGAGAGTGATCGCCTTGTGTAGGTGATTTTTTTGTTTCGTCTAACATGGAAAGTCTTCAATTTCCATGAAGGCAGGTTCCCGAGCAGACCGCCGAGATAATCGAGTGCTTCTATCTCGGATCCGGATTGTCAATCATCGATGGCCGTGACATTTCGATATCAAGAAGGAACATGAAGCCGAGCAACAGTTCCGTCGAACAGCAGCAGCAAAAAATGAAGGAAATCCGCTCGGCCATAGAACAGGGAGTTCAGAAAATAATCAATGCAACTCAGTGGAACCGAAACATTAGTCGGCTCACTCAATCGCAACGAGAAGGACACCAGGCGACATTTTTTCGGAGCGTGATGGATTTACCGACCGGAATTCACCCTTTGTTGTCGTTCGATATTTATGCGCCCCGGTAGCACGAGGCGTGCTCCAACACCCAGAGCCCAGTGAGACTCTTGCATCGATGCAAGGTGGCGATCGATCAAATGTATCTGGAGCGTGCCACAACGAGGGAGCTTCGCTCTTGAGCAGGTTTCCCTCTCGTCGAGTACCTCCTCGATTCGAACTCTTAGGTTCTCTGGATATCATTCGGAGAACCCAGATCGATAGAAGACTTGGCCAGGATCTTCAATCCGGACTGGAACATGTAAGCGAGCATCCCCACCGACAATACTGATCTTTCCGAGCCAGGGAAATGCCGATCACTTTCACAAGCTACGCAAGATGGGAGTCATCGAGTCGCGCGGTAGAGCTGCGTTTGATGTATTCCAGCTCAACCACGGATCGGCATTTTAATCGATGCCGGCAAAGTAGAACGGTACGAGGCATTGAACGATGCTGAGAGCAAACGATGCCGTCTGTCAGATCCAGCGCAGCACCATGTAGCTCGAGAGATCTCGAGAGGCGCTTCGGGCGGACATTCCCAGATATCACCTTCTTGACATCAAGCCAGCTAATGTGTCTCCGGCACTTGTCGTGAACACAAGCGTTGCGGAAAGCCAAATAAACTCCAATATCGGAGAGCTAATGGCCTACTGGCGGTGAGGGGTCGTGATCGATTATCCGGAAATTCGAGACTTCCCCCCGAGCCAATCAGGAGCTCATTACACCCTCGTGATGAGAGTCAGGAGCGTTCGGAAAAGCTATTGCTCGGCACCCGATACGAGAGCCTCGAGTACTCTCGCATATTCATAAGTCGATTTTGCGAATCCAAATAAGTGAGTTAGAGTGCGAAGACCCGTCACGGGCCTCATGATTCTTCGACGATTCCCAAATCTCATCGATTCCGCTCTATACGTGACACAACAATGACGAGCTGTCACTGGAACGATCCTCTTTGTGCCTTACGATCCAGACGTGTTACGGAGATCGACTGACTGTCGACAGCTATTGAGAATCAAGCTCCTCCGAACAAGTGATCAATCAGCCGAGAACATCCTACGCTGGCCATTTACACTCTATATAGCGTCTTCATAGTCTAGCGAGCCGTAGTCAGTCGTTCAGATGTGTCTTGTTCCCTCGCTCGCCTTTCCACTACCCCGGCACTGGTTCTAGAGCTTGCATGCATTCACCTACCTCGATCAGATGGAGAGCGCAACTTCTCAGACTTCGGGAACTCTCAATCGTTCACCATTGGCCCCCAGTCTGGATTTTCGGGGGCCCTTGAGGCACTAAAGTAACAACACCCGCACCTTGGTAATCCTGCAGCGAGCCACGGGACCCGTCAGGGGTCGTCAAAGTTCGTCCAACATCCGCTTGGGCACTCGGCGGTGAGTTCGAAACGCGCGAATAAATTACCTACTGCTGTGAGCGAGTCGACGGAGCGACTGGTGGACTCGTGGTGGATGCGCCTCTTGCCGGCGGATTGACCACTCGGAGGAGAAGGAGCTAACTGAGACTGTGTTGCTCTTGAACGTCTTTAACACAGAGTAGCAGCGAGCGATGCGTTGAATGAGCCAGATGCAGGTGGTGTTCGACGATTAGACGCCGTGGGATGACATCGAACACTCATTGAATATTACTTTCTCGGTCCACTCTCGTCTCCCGGTCGGCGGAGTAATTTTGTCGTAGAATATTTCCCTTCTAGTTGTCTTAAGGGTGCATCCATCGAAGGCGAGGGTAACTCCGCGACCATCTCTCAAACTCAGGACTACACTGGATCGGGCTCCAGGCTTCCAAAGGCTCGCCTCGCGAGAAGACCGGGGTGAGACTGGACCATTTTTTGTTCGCCTGGAGATAAGGATATCTCTTTTATGATCATCTTCTGAATATTGGCGTCGCAGAGACATCGGATCAGCCGGACACGAATCATCGATAAGGGTACCCGCGCTGTCGCAGTATCGTCGGTATGACGAAGGTTCCACTCGAAAGAGCTCCGGACCCAATGATCACTGGAACCCGGAGCCACTCTGACTTGCTGCTCTATTTTAAAAAAAGTGGTCCGAGTCCCGCTCTTGCTGCAAGATTTGGTGCCCGGATCGAGTCAGCATAAATCTCGCAGTATTTCTCCATGGAGCGATACTCTCATATCCGAGTCGAGTAAACGCGTGCTTCTAATCAATCTGAATTGTTAGCGGATAATTGGACTTGCAAAGACTCCAATCTTGTGACCTGTCTAGACATATCCGGCGCTCCGATACCGCATTTGTGCTACGATTGTCATTCTTCACTCTCTGGTGTGATCTGGCAGGAATTTAGGGCTGCGGTCCATCGATCGTTTTTCCCCGAAATTCGCGGTGTGGGCGGTATGCGAAGGAGCATCGAACATGGAATTTCCTGCGGTGTCTGTGAAGAATCGCATCAAGAAATAATTCTTGTTCTCATTATAGTGAAACCTCGTCGCGAGAGAGCTTCTCTGGTCTAACGACTGCGCACGCCGGGACGGAATCTCGGTAATATGAAATTCATTCATTACTACCGCCAAGAGACTTTGGCCGAGCAAGCTGCAGGATGAAAATTACCCCTGGTCGTCGTCGCATACTTCTGGTCGTGCCGTGTTTCATCGCAGGGAAAGGAGACTGTACTTCCGAACTCCTGGGGCGATATCTTTCCCTGCGCTGATCTTCAGCAACTCGCCCGATCCCGGCTTTTGAGATAGTACCGAGCATGCTATGGGATGGAGAAGCGATTCTCATGTTCGACTTCTCTTTCTCCGAAAATGATTTGGCTTACCCAGGGGCGTATATAGGATTTTTTTTGGGGGGGCCTAGCTAAGGTTTTTTGGTGGGGGGGGGGGGGCAGAATCATGATGATGATCCCCATATACCGCAATGTACGGAGGCGGCGTTTTTTTTAGGGGGAGGGGCATTGCCCCTTTTGCCCCCCCTATATACGCTACTGGGCTTACCCCGACACCGGCCTTTCTCTGGCTTCCCGCATTCTCGAACACACTTTCAGAACAGACCATACCGTTCCCAGTCTCGATTCTGGTTTTCGGACTAGTGGTCCTCCCCGGAGAATGTTCTGTACGTGCATGCGATCGTACGTCGACCTCAGTCGTGGGGCTCCCTCGGGGATACTGGAGTTATCAAAATAGATAGCGGCGGACAAGATCTCGGTCGAATCTGACGCAATGGCCCCTTCGCTCCTCGAACCTTGAGACCTGTCGTTTTCGGAAACGATTCACAGAGCTGAAGCTCGAAGAGTCGAGCAGGCGACAGAGTGAACGAACACATCCTACTATGATGGTCGCCTCGAGCCTGTCATGAGATCGCATATCATGTATGTCCACATGAATCACTGTATTTCTCGGGCTAGACCTCTACAAAACTCAATGTTCGACTCTCCGCATATCACCGATGAGATGTCGCCTCCGAGGACGCATGCGGGTAACTGAGGTACGCGGCAAGAACGGGATTGTGACCTGCGAATGTTTCCAGCAGCAAGATCAAAACTCTAGAGTTCCAGTGTACGGCGTAATCATCTGGGAGACCGATGAGAGGATTACCATAACTGGAAATATCGGAAATGTCCTCACGTGAGAGCGGTAGATTCGTATTCCGAATGATGCTCTTTTCTCGAGGGGGACTGGAGCTTCCATCCAGGTTTGATTTTGATTGCAGGCGCGTCATGGAATCGACGTGACTTTTGAAGAAATTGCGAAAGGGAAACGCAGCCGAGATTTCCAAGAATCGATGGTAACTAGTACATTGTTCACCTTATCAGGCGCATTTAAGGTCAGTTTGGTTGATACCTCAGAGCTCCAGTGCACCATGAGTGATATTTCCACCTGTGATGCTACGGTCGTTCTCGTCAATGGCGCTTCTGGTATCTTCTCGCGAAATACGTGCACCGTCGATTTTTTTTCGAGAGACGGATGTCCTCATACATTTCGTTGTTCCTCGAAGCAAAGAAGAAAGCAGACAGAATCTCCCACATCCAACGATTCACTCGGAGCTCCGCGCAATGCGGGCTCGTACGGCGATTTCGCCGCTGAGCGGGATATTGTCCTCTCCGTCTTCCATCCCGCGCAACTATGGCTAACAGGTTCTGACCGTCGGTCATGCGTCGCTTGGAGATACGAGACAGAATGCTGTGACGGGAGCCTGTCGAAGAGATTACTCTCAAGATGAGGGAAGGTTTCGAAATATTTTCCGTGAATTTCTCGGCTTGATGTATCCACTGATGAAACTCAATCACTCTCGCTGGGATGGAGGTTCCCATGAAAGCCGTCGAGGAGCTTTTAGCATCCATTTATAGATTTGCCGTTTGTTGTATCGTTGCGACTCAAGATACCTCTTCTATGGAGCCTACTCGATCTACTACACCTACGGCAGCCGCTACTAGAGCAAGACGACATCAATAAGAAAGGTCGGGAAACCTTTCACTCTTTATAATAGGGCGTCCTAAGCTCTTGATGCGATCTCGAACGTCAGCAGCGTCAGCGACGCACTCGCTCGGTAGCGTCGGGGGTCTCGAATCTCGAAGCATGCACTGTCAAGCCGGAATTCTCCGTGAGACGGATGCCGAGCATCCATAAGGTCCTACCGGAAAGACCGCCTAACCTCGGCAGGCCGTGATCAAAATTAATGTTGCTTCTCATGTTCATGATCGGGGCGTACTTTTCATTCCACGGTTGTTTATCTTGCAGAACCGAGCCGGAGATCCTTAATAGAGACGAAGGTCTCGGATGCTTTTACGACTCTCTCGGTCGAGAGGCCTCAATTAGTCCAAAAGTTCTCAACGTAAACAGTTACTTCAGAAATGTCTCATACGATCTCCAACAAACAAGATAATCAACCAATCATGCGATATATTTCTGCGAGATCGCGGTATAAAATCTTCCCACGGGTCCGCATAGCTGCCGTGTGATTACGCGTGATGACGACGAAGAATAAACCTCCTCTCCGCAGATTTTCGCGAGGTACATGCGGAATACACAGAAGAAGCGCTCGGACCCCCAGAAGCGACCCACTCAAGTTCCTTGCTCGAAGAGTAACCTCATGCAAGAAATTTCCCCCCTCTGAAGTCAATCCCCTAATCTCCTGCCCCGGCAAACCTTATCGGGGTAGGCCTCTGGGACCAATTGCGCAGAGTTCAGGAACTTCCAGTCGGCTGGCTATGTCATGTCGGCCGAAGATCGCGACCGAATATCCGAGGTCCGAGAAGCCGACGATCGTGAAAGCTCATGGGATAATGAATAAGTAGATAGGTAACTATACATGAATGATCATCTGCAGAAAACATTGGATGTAGGAGATGCTCGGTTTTCAGATGAATCGTCGGCAAGTCCCTTGAGTCTGTCATCCTCAGCTTTTTGTGGGGGTGTTTTGCGTTGCGTCATTCTGTCTTCTAGGGAGTCGCTTTGAGTCGGCCTGGACTAGATGGTGAGAGGAGTGCCACTTTTCAAAAAGAAACTCTTGAAAAAGAATGATCCATGGCTACCACGGGTTCGGAAGGCCGTTGTACTATGCAGCGGAGATGCTGTCAGCGGATTCACAAAGGTGGGCTGCTGTCCTATTGAGGGAGCCTCCGATAATTGCCAGAGACTCCATTCTCATCTGATACCTTCAATGGAGGAGCCTGACCGAAGTATCCGGCCTCACTCCGACCGAGAGCAAAGAGGCTGAAACTAGTCTCGAAAGGCAACTTGGACTCGGGGTTTGGTTTGGATTGGATTTTATTTCTTCTTAGTGAACTTACATAACAACATGACTCAGTACAACCAGATCCGTTGCTCACAGTGTTCGAAGAAAGGTCGTGCCCAGCAGACATTTCTAAAGTAGGACTAGAGATCCAGAGAATCGTGTCGTCCATCCGTGAGAACTTTCCCCGCTTCGTGTCGACTAAAATACTGATCTCTTTAAGGAACTCTACCGAGGTTTTCTGTGATTTCTAGATTCAAACATAATGCACGCGGAATCGCCGTGACGGTACTCTGGTTTCTTGGTCCAGTCTTGCTCTGCCCATCCCCCGTGGGGGAATGGTCATTTCTAACGGGTACGATCTATGTTTTTACAATGTCTGGCTCCGCCTTTCCCCGGCGGTTTTGACCAGCCGATTTCTACCGGAGTGGAATTTCGAACTTAATTTTTTCAAGAACTTTCTCGATGTCCTCTTCGAACTCAGCGACATTTCCCCCCGCTGACTCCGAGCATGGCGATTGGATGTCTTGAGGTTGAGTCCCGTCGTTCGGGGGATAAACGAAATTTCAATCGATCCGGACATGGGCTCCGAGTTCATCAACAAGGTTCAGCCATCGCTCCTAGAAAAACCTCGAACGTAGAAGGGCTACCAACAACGCCGTCATGGTCATTGTGTACAGAGCGCTCAGGGCAGATGTTCCGTTGCAGAACTCGTCGATGATCAACTCCTGCTTGTTCCTTTGATTGTCTTCGGATTCCTCCCTCGTGAGCATATGCCTACGGAATTTCATCCGACACTCGGTTTTCTGTGCGAAAAAGTTTCATTTAGATTCCCAAGTATTCCCATGTCCATGGTGGACTAGTCCATCGCATTACCACGGATGCCATCCGCATTACAAATCACTGACTCTGCAATCAAGATCCCTACCGTTCCATTTGTCTCGGTCGCCGCCGTTCTTATCAGATGCGCTTGAATTTTGAAGATAGTTGGCATGCAGTCCTGAAGAAGTCATGGAATTCACTCATGTGTGTCTTTCTGAATTATCAGACGGGGTGTAGTTTCGATGTGGAGAAGATATGGGAGAGACTTACTTTCTTCCAAGCTTCGGTGATGCTGTCGAGCGTCCAGACCGTGGAATTGCTCCTTGAGTTTTCAGAGTCGATCGCCTTACGGACCATACCGATCACATCACCCTGAAACGAGGTCCTCGTTCATCAGATTCCTGTTACTTGATCCATGGTGAATATTTCTTTCGATAGGATCGACAGGAATAACTTTGATGCTCATCTGAGGAAACTCGGGCATCTACACTGACCGGCGGGAGTGGCATGAACGGTTTGCAGCAGTCTCTCATTTTTTGCATCTCTTCCTCGTTACACGCCTCCGTTGAAGTGTCCATGGGAGTCATTGAAGCTGCAGTTGTATCCGAGTTCATGGCCATTGTTGCCATAGCTGTGGGGAAATTCGACATAATTTATGCATGATTCTGTGGGATCAGGAGTTGCTCCTCTTTGTCTTAGTTTGCCGATTGCCATAGGAGTATTAATATGATCCGTCGGCTCACGTGTAGTCGATGTATCTTGAGTGGCTGCGAATGTGAAGGAAGCCACCAGAACGGCTCCGAAGAAGAGCTTCACGTTATAGCTGGTCGTCATGATCGTACGGTCTGGAATATCGAGGGAGCTTTGGGTATTTTCCAGAGCCTCTGTATCCTCTCTGTACCTGAGTTCTCAGCGAAAATTCACTCTTTGGATCGGAATAGGGTATCTTGATCCAGAGAAACATCGCCTGTTTCTTATACCTCAAGGCTCTCCCATCTCAAAACCCAATATGGTAGGCAGAGTCGGAAAAAGTCACTTGAGCATCATCGGCTTATATCGCTGAAATTTCCCGTTTGTAGCCAGTATTTCCCAAGCCTGGAAAAGTCGATCGTCGCTCCAGTATAGATTCGAGTCAGTCAGCCACTACCCCCGTCCGAGCAGGAGCCGATCCCCTTTGTCAAAACGGTCGATCATGCAGCGCGCTCGGGATGCTTCCCGCGCAAAAATCGGCATCCATGAAAGGACAGTCAGACCTATGTCTGGGAACGGAACGATCTGTATCTTCCGCGCCCCACGACGCTTTTCGTCAGAATGTGCGCCACGCCGCTCGCCTTCCTCACATCCCTCGAACCCACATCAATGAGGTTCCTCTGCATCGAACTCGCCCATATTCTCACTCTCAATCAGCGGAGCTTACAGAGCACTCCGACTCCGAATCGGAATGAGCGTCTATGGCATCCAGAGTGATAAGCTGACACTGACCATTACACGCTATGACAGCCCTCTGGAAGGAGCTGTCACTGCGAGAAACGCATAAAATGTACGAAAGCCAGACGTCTCTGTCACTCCACCAGAAGAGATCTCTAGACTGGAATGACATCGCCAAGATGGGATTTGTAACAGTGTCTTCATAGTGACAAGGCCGATCGACCTTGACTACTCAAGTGATAATCAAATCGCAGCGGTCAGCATGAAGCTGTTTTTCGTCCAATCCTCCTCTCGTAACAGCCGGAATTTAGCCTTGACTCCTTTACCTCGATCCCCGCGTAGGACCATTCCGATATTCGATGCTTAAGATTCCTCGGACCACCCATTTCGAATGGGTACGCATGAGCGCAAATTATGGACTTCGAGCGCTCATAGACTAAACCTCATTGTCAGACCTAGCGTTAGAATTTTTCAGAGTCAACGAAGATTCTGTGGGAGAATCGTTGGCATCTAATCGTTTGGTCGCAAATATAGCGGTCATCGCTGCTCTCAGCAGGAAAACAGGAAATTTCGTCACGCCGAAGGATGGTGCAAAACGTCACGCAGAGGAGCATTGAGCACTCGTACTCTCCGGCTTCTGCCTGTCTGATTGGAACACCACGCTCCACGTGGTCGGGAGGGGTGCAATTATCGGAGAAGCCATTCAGCCATCCAAACGACCTCCGCAAGAAACACTTTGCTCGGTCAGAAAATTGATTTGTTTATCCAGGCAGCATGGGGCTTGATGGTTCTACTCCTGATTGCGGGTGGGAATATTTAAAACGACTTCTTGCGACCGCTGCGCAATGGATTGTGAAGCTTCCTCGCGGAGTATTCATTTTTCTCTGCGTCGAACACTCCACGCCCGATCATCCTGAAGGGTGATTCGGATGCTCAGAACCTACCCAGTGGATTCGGATAGCGATGCTTGGCACGTCTGTTTGCCCTCCAGACCGTAAACCCGCCGCACCCGATGGGTCGAATGCTACTTACGTATCCTCGAAAACGCCGTCCTCGCTCCGAGATCGTAGACTCGAAGTCACGCGAGGTAATGATGACCGGCGAGGCTCAGGGATCGGGAAGGCGTTTTCGACAGTCTGCGAGCCTATGTTTCCGGAACACGCTTGCGATGAGGCGAACCGGAGAAGGAGATTCGGAACTCCCCAGGTCCAATAAGAGCAATGAGCTCACGATTTTCCGAGGCCGTCGACGGGTCCCGTATGCCTCTCGAGCTCGATCTAAGAGGCCGAGGCCTCTTGAGCAGCCCAAGAGCACCCTATATGAATCATCAAGCGACATAGGAGCCTAGTTCCAACGATAATAACAATCCCTAATGGAGACGATCACGGATTCCCAGTGGGTCGGATTGGTCTCGAACAACGGAATCCACGTAACCGATTCCCTATATTAAATATTGATTGCTTGATCTCAAGCTGGAATTCCTGACTGCAAGGTCAACTCAATTCCTGATGGCGACCTTCCCGTGCTCAATCGTACGGATCCTATGTGTTCCAAGCTGCCCTTCTAGAGAATTCTCAGCTGCATTGATACACGCACTCTGCCGCTCACAGTGAGAACTATGAGCACCGGCGTGACGGCGATTCGAAGCCGCTGTTTACAAAAACGTAATCGTATGCGGGGGCTGGTTCGGCGGAACCGTCTTTCTAGAATTATGCGTGTTCTCCGAGTCAGGTGCCAGTTTTTTCGATAATATTCCCGCCTTCTTTCAGATAGTCTTCGGAGTCACACACGAATCGATGAGCGTTCTCAACGCTCTGGCTCGAGACCGAATGCGACCGCAGCTCTCAGCCATTGAAATATTGGTCAGCCCTCATTGTTTTGTGACTCGGATATGAATCTATAGGAAGGCTTCGCCCGGGAGCATGATCAATTACCTACCCTTGAGGTTCTCCCGGAGTTTTGATTGATATCATGCCGCGTTCAATAGGACTGTCAGAAGCTGCGACAGCGTAAGTAAGCAAAATAGCGGAATAATAGCATATTTTGTATTTCTTCGAGACTCTGGCCGAAACTCTCCCGTCTCTAGACATCGGCAATCGATCATATGGAGAGTCTTAGTAACAATATTGGCTGATGGATCGTTTTCACGATTAATCGTACTCACGAGATCGTCTCTGTGGTATTCGCAAGGGCGCGGGAGGAGGTTTCCGACTGTCGAGGATATTGGATCCGTCTGACGCTTCTCAAAATTGCGGTCGCTACCGGATATGGCGAGAACAACCCACTCGACGCTTGCTGAGCTCTAACCCTGGCATCGGCCTTGAGGTCGACGGCGCACAACTCCGGTCGCTTCCGAACCCTTGCCCAAATCACTGAGTGGAACTCCCCCGACCCATCTGACCCTCTGTCAGGGGATCATGCGAATAATTTACCAGCGCTCACTACCGCAACAGCGCACATATCGTTTCGAAAAGCATGAAAAACCTCATTCGAAAACTCAAAACCAGCCTTCACAGAGGAGCTATTGCCGTCATTGGCGTCGTCAGCCCGCAATGCCCTGTTGCAAGAGCCTTCGCTCGACTAAAGCCGCGCCTGTGCATAACTGTGCATACCTCGTCCGCTCGCCTTTCAGAACGCCCGCTCAGTGAATCGAAGATCGTTTCCGTTGAGCTGCCCCCGCGTCCGACAATAAGCTACCGGCACTTCTGCCATCTGACCGGGTTTCTCTATTGTTCGGAGTTCCTGCGAGGAAGGCCATAAAAGAAATAAACGTGGGAGGATTCCCCGCTCTTCCATCGGAACCCCCCAGTCGGGAAGACTAGACGCTTGACGACAGGACTACATGTTCGGCGCCCTTTCGGCCAAACGGGGCACCAAACACGAATTGAATGGTCCGAAGATCCTCTGTGTCGCAATCTCGGCTGAGGCATATCCGGTGCAATGACGGAGCGCCAGCGATCAGAAGCCGTAGAAAGTCCAACTCTCGACGAGCAAGGTGTAACGAGGGGCGTATTGCATTGTATCAATTAGTATACATCAGGTGTTAGAGAAGTAGCTGGCATCATTAACATTGGTTTGGCTTCGGTGGAGGATCCGAGGTAAGCAGCTGACCATTGCAACGTCGTATGATTCTGCTGATCGAAGAACAACTCCATCGACCAATAGGAAAAACACATGCCTGTCTCGGTCGACAAGAGGCCATGCGATGGGCAATCGCGACGCCGGATATCGAATTCGGAGGCACATTCGAGAGGAGTTCTTCTGACAAGGATGGCAGGCTCGACACCGAGGCCTGGAGGCGGTCGATTCATTGCAAGCAGATTCGCCTCCTCTCTGGCTGCGTGGAAAATCTCGTGCTCGTCGGAAGGTCGCAGGAAGCCTGAGCACGCGGTGGACCAATTGCCAGCAAGGAAATTCTCAAGCAGCAGGCCATGTATGGCCTCAGGCACGAGGAACATCGCTCACAACAACATCTACCTTTCCGCGAACGTCTACACGGGCGAGAACTTGCCTAGAAAATTATTCGTTAGGCTGTTCATCAGAGACCGGCGAGATAATGCGAGACGTCAGACCGCTGACGAATGGCAACGTGGCGTCTAAGCGTACGCGGCACTCGAGTATGCGGTCGTAGATATTGTGACTCCCGGGGAATTATAGCTAACCGATATTTCTGTCAGGCCTCGCGAATTATTTCGCTTTTTCTCCATGATTGTCTGTCCGGGCATATTCTCTCTAGCGACCCGATCACAAAGGATATGAATGCTCCTTGCCTATCCCGGAACGAAAAACTCCCGATTGGATATCCGCGTCCCCGATCGGCACCACAAGCGAAAACCCGACGATTGATTTTGTGTCTCATCTCGGCTGGAAGATCTTCATCCCGATTCTCATTCTAAATACAGATTGCAACTGGGACTAGCCTTGCCGAGTGCATAGGAATCCACGGCTCCGCTGCATGGCTCAGCCAGTATTTTTCCCTCGTGTTCTTCGAGATACGCTTTCATCATCAATCACAGCGGTGCTCATGTTTTCAGATGCTCCTCTGGGAAACCTGAGCTTCGCCCTCTCTTCTAGGGCGGATGTGGTCATCAGACATCATTCGATTTTCTCTTATCATAATTGGATCTCGGGAGGGAATCCCCGGGACTTATAATCATTCTCAGAGAGGCGTTCGCTCTTGATATATTTCTCATCTTTTTCGGGCTGGACCACACAGCCAAGGTCTAACGTCCCGGGTACTGTTATTCACATTGCTACCGAGGACGGATCCATGGAGCAAATGTACCCAGGAGGATCAAGGCCGAGTACCTGCATATTCTTCCGGCTGCAGGGATCGAACCCACACCGGCTTGAAATCAAGCAAATCGCAAGCATCACGCGGGCTGAGCTCGTCGTTCCCTTGATTTCTACACCATCCTAAAATGGCGGGGGCTTCTCTCGGTTTCTGGCAGGAACTTCGGTCTGGCCTGCATCCGCTCTCGCAAATTCTGAAGACTCGAGTCCGACCCGTTCGAGCTGCGATGCTGAGCCGCAAGCCGATGCTTCTGAATGTTCCAAGACAACAGATGCGGGAGGAATTGACTGATCGCTCATCACACGAATTGCATAGGTAATTATTTCTCGAAGAATATGAGCCGAATGAACAAGCACAAAGTCTAAACCGGAATTCCGTTGACTCTTCGAGTTCTTGATACAATCACGGACATCCAATGCCGGAACAATTTGGACCGGGTTTGAGCAAGGCCATCAGATGTTCGTGGGAGCTCGTTAGGCCTGAACGGACAATGGCGGTGCTTTTCGATTCCATTCCAGAACGATCGTTGACATGATCTCGGCGGGAGCTCTGCGACCGACCGGCGTAATCAGAAACCGCCTATTAGCAGTCAGAAATCGGCTGATCCCGGGGCTATGTGGAATTATAAGGGTCGGGACATTCTGACGGGTGATCTTGGACTCAGATGACAAAGCAATATTTCTCTAGACGTCGCGTTCTGTCATAGCTGACGGAAGACATGTTTTGCCCTTGAGGATGTCACAGTGAGAAAAGCAACGCAGCAATAGTCGAGGACTCAGATAGAACGGAGAAACCGCTCAAAAACAATGAGCTGAGATGAGGCGCGAGCTCGTTCCGATTCCGATGAAAGTCTTCGACTTGTGAGGTGCGCCCAGACGCACATAGAAACCCTGCTCTATCTCGATCCACCGGCCGCAGTCACGCTTCACTGAACGGCTTCCCGAAACCTCGACCATGACCCTATCCACGAACCATTCTATCGCTCGTGCGCAGCAAATTGAATGGACGCAGGAGACTGCGGGAATTTCCCTCACAGCTGTCTCCCATTTCCGCTCCCAACCGCTCTTAGAAACCACCAGAAACAATGCTGAGACTGGGGTTCCTCGTCTCCGGCAATGAAGCGTGACTTGGGGCTCCTCTCGGGATCCTCTCGAGCGACCTTGAATCGACCCCAAGAGGAGTTTTTTCGACATTAAATTGTAAGACCCACTCACCTCTAGGGCTGCGATGCTGGAAAACTCAGAATCCAATACAATGCCGAAACAGAAGTGCCTCTGGCTCGAGACGAAGGAGAGAGGACAAGTGGAGGAGGGAAATGACTCCTGCCTACACTGGCGTGTCTGCCGTAGACGGTGGATGGCGCTCTTCGTCGCCTACTGGGACTTTCCTATGACTGTTAGTCGTATCGGTACGCCAAACAGAAGGGAACCCCAGAAACAAGCCAGAACATCAATTTCACAGCGATTCGGATCGAATATTCATGAACATTTGCGTGCGCTTACTTCTCATTCGTTTTCCAAATGCTCACACGTCTTCGGTGGTGGCGATATTCCGTCTCTGGAGTCACTTTGAAGGATGCCGAATTCGTCAGCCATTTTAAGTCAAGCGTAATTTTTTCATGCTTGATATTTCGGCGGCATCAGAAGACTCCGGATAAGTTTCGCTCGGCTAATTCCGAATACCAAGCCATCGGAGCGTCCTGAGTAAACTTGATAAACTTCAAAGTCGCAGATGCACCCGGATTTATTCCCCAGAATCTCTCATTTCCCTGAGGGAATACAGCGATTCTTCTGTGCCGAAATTGACCATAGCCTGACGTTGAATTCTCACTGCAATGCGCGGCGCTTACACGCGGTATTTATTATACAATAGAAAGTAGTGAGTCGATATTTTATTCGGACGGTTCCGCTTAGAGCACGGAAATCTCCAATGTTGCACGGACATGGGGCATCGATTCGAATCCGCTCGGGAGTGAATAAACAGAGGATTAGAGAGCATGTCAACATCGACTTCACGTCTGAGAGCGTTATCATAGGAATAGAACGCAGACGAAAACTGGCCGGGCTCATGTGTTCCACGATTTCGAACGATCCCCTTTATTCAGGTTGATTCACGCTCGTGATTCCGGGGCGGACCTCTAACGGAAGGGGTGTCGTTCCGTCGTTTCCGGATCACCATATTCTGTATAGGACTACAAGTCCGGCCACAGGAAGACACGCGCAGAATAGGAGGAAGAATGGACTAACTCCGGAAGAGACAGCGTCGAGGCGGTCGTCGGTCCTGAAGGAAAATCGAGTCCTTGATTTTTCGAAAATCTGCTAAACGTCCATGGAAGAGGATAAAGGCCGAGCCAACACGCTGAGATCGGATTAGAGTGAGCGAATTCAACCAGCTTCGCAGTGGAATGGACTCGCTCAAGCTCAAATCGCTTTCAGCGCTCGCTCAGCGAGATCGAATGCGCGGTCATGCGGAAAATAAATATGTGGTCGCTTGTACCCACATATAGAGCGGCTCTCGATTGCTGGACAGTAATTCTTCATTCATTGTCATCCCTCGAGGCTTCCACTCGGGGCCCAGGTACTCTTCTTTGCAGTCGTAAGTGACCAGACGTCCACCCTGGTGCTTCGGTACAAATAGGTAGATTTTGCAATATTTGATGGGCTGGAGGAAAATGAATCTAATGAGAGGTACAGGGTCGGAGCGAGCGAAATCGTTGATGGAGGGCGAAGAAATCGCGGAACATGCGCCCCCGGGAGTATATTGGGGATATTGAGTGCCGGGTGGAGAGAATCGACTCGAATGCAAGTCGGTCCGGTTATCCTCAGATCGATGCGAGGTCAAGTTATGCAGCTGTTACTCATCTCGGTCCTCAGCCCCAACGGAGGCGGGCCAAGCCTCTGGACGAAGAAGCTCATCCCAAGCAGGTGAGGGAGCCGCCTCGCAGCGTCCAGAAAAAAATATTGGTAATAATATCCTCCCTCGAGTGACACATCCAATGAAGCACATAACCGCCACGCCAAAGGCTGCCAAGCAGTCGAGCGTCCCCCCGTCGATGAAGCACCTTGCCACGAGCCCCAAGGTCGGCCTCGATGACGACATCTGCTCGTGTAGAGGCATCTGAACCCTTTGGAGACAAGACTGTTCGATTTGAGATTCTCGACGCGAAACTCACCGCTCCGGGCAAAGCTACGCAGTCATCCGGCTCGTACGAGGGCATGCCGGTCATCGTACAGTTTGAAGACGTGAACTCGGCCTCGATTCGATACTTCGGATATCTGCATTCCTTGACGAAGCCCCCGATCAGACGTACAAGAACATCTTTGCGTTCAAATTTGAACCTCTGGAATGGGAGGAGATTTCTATTCTACCTATAATAAGATCTCTTGGTCAGCCGACAGAGAAAATGACGGGGCTCAGAGGGCTCATGTGTAGGTCTATTTTTCGGTCGCCGCCAACGGCATTCGAGGGACATACCTGAGACGCAACATGGGCTGCGTAATTCGCGACAAGGGCGAGTTCTTTATCGACTCCTTTCCGGAATTCCCAGGGTTTTCCGCATTCTGTGATCATCTCGTCCCGTTTCAAATTGGAGATCGCCGAGCAGCTGGCTCGGGAGATCAACACGAGTGCGAACCAACTCCACATGGCGGTCGACTTCGCCTTCAGACTTATTCGAGGCCCGATTCCTCTCACTTTAACCAAACTTCCCACTATACCACAAGGGTTGGAGGATTCTCTCTCGGCCCTTACGGAGCTTTCTCACCGGATCTCGCGGCTACCTGTGGTCAGGAATAATATTTTGGACGAATTCAGTCGTGGCGTCTCTCGATACCAGAAGTCTGAGAAGAATGGGGAATCGATCAAACCAGTCAGAAAGGCATGGATGAGAACTGACTAAGCGAAAACGTCTGCGTCATCGATTGCGCTCGTTTTCTGTTTCAGGTTTATTCTGACCTCGTTTGTTTCCTTAACCCGTCCTATACCGAAGTATAGTATTTTCCCTTATTTACATATTAATTCGTTGCTGCTCTCCGAAGCGCGGCCCTCCGACCGAATCAGACTTCGACTCAAAAATCATGATGGGAATAAATGTGAGAATATCCGGGAGGGAATCATCTTCCCGGAGCTCCGGGACTCGACACCCGTCGAATTCAACTGGTTCCACACGCGAGGAGTCGATAGAAGAATTTGAAACCGGGGGGTTGTCTACTACCTTCCTCGTCACGAATGGCTTCGTAGGCAGGCGAAACGAAACTGATCACGTTGACGCCATTGTTCTCTGTGGACAAAGGGGGGGGGAAACAATGGATATATTGATTTTTGGGAAAAGCTCAATACCGTCAATTAAGTCTAAGAGTCCCCTAGTACAAACGCACCTGTTCTGTACTCGTCTTGGAAAGTATTCCCGCAAAACTTCGTATGGTCGATAGCAATGAACGCCTTCGAGACCGATGTACGCGAAACTTGCAACCTGTCGAAACATTGCTGGTCGATTTCGTTCAGAGCGTCGGTACGAGTCTGCTCTTCTCGAGGTACCTCGCCCAGACCGAACGGTCCGGCTTTCTTCAAATAAATCCGACAAGCCTCTGGTCCCCGTTTGAAGCACATTGAATACCTGGGGATTCGCTCAATTGAGTGTCTGAGGCTTGATCGTACGACTCCGCTTCGGCGTCTACTCACAAAAAATTGTTAGCGGGATAATTCAACCTCCCTTCAGATCAAATCCAAGTCGGCCTAGGAGGGAGCGACGCTTACCGTACGCCCAGGGGATAAGATGTCTCATTGACTCCTATCGGGCCGTAATTGAAACTCTTTATCGTTCCGCTATAGTCTTCGTAGTACTGTAAGCAACCTGGAGGTGCCAAGCGAGGGGAACGGCAAGGCAGTTGAGTGATGCGGATGTTCCACTTGCGTAGACGGTTCGGGTCTTTGGAGTAATCGATGTTCATGCGCAATTTGATCGAGTCGGTATGCTTGACATCGACATACACTGGAACGGGACACGGAGGTCGGCATGAATCTCGCATATTCATCCTTGAGAACTTGCGGAAATCGCGGTGACCGTGCTCGAATGTCGAAATCACACTTGTATTCTCTTGTGAGAGGAGTACGACCGCGAGATTCCGTGACGGAGTGTTACACGTAAAGGGATCGCGAGGGGGTGACATTCGAGTCTCAGTTCATTTCCGCAAAGCGAGTTCCATCCCGACAGCTCCACCTCGGATCTGAATCAGAGTGAGAGGTATGGCTACGGACGATTCACGCTCAGTTCATCGACCTGGGTTTGGAATCAGTGAACCGCAATAATTAACGTGTCAGAACGCGAACCCTCTATCCATGCATGAGGAAAGGTGATACAACGACATCCCTCGCCGGACGTAGGAGGCTCCAGGGCCGAACAAGCAGAGTCGAAGAATTTTCGGGACTTGTCATTGATTGAAGTTTCTCCACTCGATCTTCGAGGATAATATCTTCTTACATCCTCATCAGAGAGCTCACCGTGCTGTCCGTCGTTCAGACCACATATTTTGTGGATCCTGGCGTTCGCGTCTCCTTGTTCAATGGTGAGCATATCGTATCTGCAGTCACCCGTTCTCGGGTCGGGTCCAACAGTGTTGAAATTAACGAAGTCCAGTCTCATCTGACATATTTGAGTGCCGAAACCAGAGATTTTCCTCACTGATATGCCGCAATGCACAGGGCCCTCAGGATCCCAGATGTTCTGAGGCTCCACGAAATAGGTGTTGTTCGTCGTTATTTCGATCTCCCTGCCCTTCTCACAAGTTTTAGCAACTGTTGATGGAATTCCCTTCAGTTATTCAATCTCTCATCATAAATTATTGGTGGCTCTCTCCAAGGATGAATCATGATCCCTGCTCAGATCGAGGCTACTCACTGTGGCAACATACGCCGCCACCGTCACAATTTCCTATGTTGTTGCCACGTTGGAAGCTGCAGTCCAACCCGGACATGCAAACTCCTTGTCCTTGCTCGCATGGATCCAGGAGTTGCTGGCGAGCTACGGACGAGGGCCTCTCGGTAAAAATCATCTCTATCCAAGCGAATAAATAAGAGCGTGATCGAGCATACTCAGACAATAAAAACTGTTTACCTTGGAGAGAATCATCGATCTCGACATCACTCTCCGGTACGACCACAGGCGGTACCGGGGACTCTCCGGTCGGAGCTTTCGACGTCTGAGTTCGAGTCCTCACATCACTCTCAGAATGGCGCTCTGCTGCCGGGCTCCCTGTGACCGCCAGCAGAGTGAAAGTGGACAGCAACAAGAATTTCATGGTGGAAGCACTCAGAAACAGAGAATCTCGGTCCGGGTTCCTTATATAATTCCGAATTCAGGGGAAAGAGAGAGGAGAATCGGACTCGCTCGCTCAGGTGGCTCCATCGGCACGGTTGTTGGCGACCCCTTTTGAATGGATCGCTGCCCATTCCTCTTTTCCTCTTGAGAAGTTTCGTTTTTGTTCCTACAGGATCGCTGAACGCATGGTGCCTACCGTAGGTCGATTCCGGCGCTCACGGAATAGCCCGATGTCGGAAGCTCGCGGGAGGAAATCGGTTCACAACCACCTTTTCTGTTTTGAGGTTTGATTCCTCGAGGGATCGTCTCGGTGTCGGGTATTCTCGAGCAACCGAGAGGAATCTTCGAGAAATGCCTCCGTCTGGCGGATGAGCCGCACGTGCCTTTCTATCGCCGCTCGAACTCGTCGGAAAATTTCTGGGCCAATAAGCTTCCACTTAAACCATCCATTCTTAGTTTTCAAATTAAAAAAATCTGCTTCTTCTGCAGCGTCTGGTCACCTCGTTCATTAATCGCCGAGAACCAGGGAGTCAATGACCGACGATCTGAGTTGGAGCCGGAGCTCAGATCTCCCTCATGACGAACAATCATCCTTAAATGGCGCGCAAACTAAAAGAAAATCTCAAGGAAAGCTGCACACCGACGCGGCATGCTGAGGATGATCCGGTCAGAAGACCCGGCGATTTGTGAGCCGCAACGCGGCGGCCCACAGTTGAGATATTTTACTGGTCAGCTGTTCTGATGAGTGGAGTCGATGGTGACTGCCGCGTCTGATCAGAAGTCCTTCATTCGCTCTTCCCGGCTTTCAGAATCTCTCAGCAACAGTTTCTGCTCATAGCAGAAGTTTTTCGCATCTCCTTCGGAATGGGGAACTTGGATGCTTACGGGGAGGGCACACCTCAAGAGTTCGGAATAATGCCTTGATACTTGTGATTTTATCGGTATTTATTCGCAGTAGATTCGTCAGGTTCGGTATATATGCTTCAATTCAACAGCCTGTCTCGGCTTCACAATAACCGGATTTCTGTCAGGAACCTTCGATAATGATAAGTTTCGTGGCCAATCAACGATCGCGGCCGAGATTTGAATAAATATTTCCGTCACTGTAAACTCTTCCTCTCTCATAATGTATTTTGATAAAGTTCTCTAAGAGTCTGGCAGCGGATCCTCCGTTCTGCGTCGGACTCTAACAAGTCATTGATAAGTATATTTGACGAATCGACCGCATGGGTTGACGGGACGCTGAAGTTTGATGATGGGCATGCTTCGATTCCGTGCTTTGTTGTAAAAATGTCAAGGGTGAGGAATGAGAACCCTCGTATCCGATTGAGAATGGGCAAAAACGAAGTACAACAACATAAATTAGAACGATCTACAACCGTGGTTTGATTATTTTGGCGATTTTGATCTCCGTTCCGAACGAAGAGGTGTTCGCAGTCTCTTCATAAAATTCAAATTTCAGTCTCTCTTGTGCCGAGTTGTCAGTACTGACAGATTTCTATTGTCGACAGAGGAATGGATCTATCGCTGAGATCAAATAAGTTCGATATGGGCCTCGCTTCCACCTCGAGACACCCGATGGTGAAAGCGAAGCCGGGTTTTCGATTCCTCCTCTAAAGTCTCCTACACAAGAAAATATCGAGAACGCTATCTTAGAAAACACATTATCCCTCCAGTCCGATGCTTCAAAATTTCTCTCCGTCCATTTCGAAGTTGAACACAGTCCATTCCTTGATCTTTGAGATCCGCATGAGACAGCTATCGTATCGAAGATCTCTCGATCACGAGTAATTCGATCGGATCTTAATTGCACCATTTACAAAGCTATGTGGATTGTTCGGGTGGACCAAGCGCACTCCTGTCGATAACTTGTATACGAATATTATAATCTGTTGCGACTGGCTCACAATTGCACGAGAGACTCCACCTCATTTACTGACCCATGAAATATCGGGTCTCCAACTCAGAAATAGTGTATAACGTAAAAAAGACCGGCCGCAGGACCAGACGGCAATCATCAATCGAGGTGGCGCTGAGGGGACCCTGGCCAAAAATCAGTTTAGATTCACTTCTTCCCAGTAAGTCGTAGTCCCTCCTAGAAGAGGCGTCTATATATCCCGTATGTATTGTATATCCGCAAGCTCCGCTTTATCTAAAGCAGGTGATTCGATGACTTCATCGCCGGCTCAGCGTCACAGAAACCTAATCGTCGTCTTCGATGACGTTGGCTTCGTCGTCTGATGATGAGGATGAATCGCTGCAATGAATTTTCTCGGCGGGCACGCTGGAAACGAATTTAGGTATCAGACCCAAGGTAGTCTATCGTAGCTCAGATGTCTATGGGGAAAATCTCCTTCATCATCGAATCGAGCGATATAAACTTGCATACTCCTTTGGGGAGCGGAAATGGGGTAGGTACCTGAGATTCTGCTTGCTGAAGTCTGTTTTGGCCGCGATCGATTCGATACTCTCTCGGCTGTCGCCGATTTCGTCCAGGGCGAAGATCAACTCCCGTCCGATTTCTTTGAGCTCCTCCACCCCGAGATGGAACCCCTTATAACCCCGAGAATCACAGCCTGCGATCGTGCATTCCATCGTATAGGAGAGCGAGAGATTCAGTTCCTTCCACGCGGAAATTCGCAACGCCCCCCGTTTAGAGGCCTCCAATTTGTAAGTGCACTGACCTGATGGAGCGCAATTCGAGTAAGTGTGATTCGGAGAACGAGGAGGAATGCTTGAAATCTTTATTCATCGGTGCCCATGTGGCGGCTCCCTAGCAGATCATCGACTCTCATCATCCGCTGTGGCTGAGATTGCCAAAGATCATCAAAACCAGCAAGATGAATAGCTGCTCCCAGGAAATCCGGAGCGCAATATCCTGGGAGTCCCAACAGCGAGGTCCTACCATGGAACTCATGCGACCTGACCCCTTTCATTTCGCCTACTTCTGGGTCTTCGAGACGACTCTCTTAGTCAGTCAGTTTTCGGTGAAGAAAGGGGCCGAGAGCAGGATATCGATCGGAACATATTCCATCTGCTCCGGAGGCTCCAGTCACGAAGACAGAGAACACGGAATACTTTCCACCAACCGCGTGGATACTTAGGGAGTCACGGATTCCCCGCGAATCAGAGGAATGTCTTCCCCTTCCCGATCGAAATTTCAAGAGCTGAGCTTGTGATACTTACCCTGATTGAACGATTTGAGCCTATTGTGTAGAACGTTGGGAAGAAGTCTCTGTGCTGGGGTATCCTCGCACCCGAACATGAAAACGTTGTGAGCTCGGGAATGGCCATGGATGTCACACACGACGAGTGGAGGGCGATTGTTGGCAGTCAGGTAGGTCAAAAGTGCCTTAGTGTAGAACACCGTTGGGTGCTGGGTCGGACATGGGTTCTCGTACTGGCGATTCAAGTCGGCTCCGGCCATGCCGCACCGCTGGTTTCCACAGACGACGCCGTCGGGATTCAGCATTGGGACGACGTAGAAGACGAATTTTTCTCGGAGAGAAACAGCTGCCGGATGTTCCGAGAGAAGAGCCTGAAGAGCTCCGTGCATTATATGCGAGCTGTTTGTTTCTCCCGGATGAACTCTCGAAGAAATGAATATCACTGGCTTTTGAGCTGCTCGCGACAGGTTCGACTTGTCGGTGATCGTCAACAAATAACACTTGTTCCCCAAGACGCTGTTACACATCTTCCGAACCTGGAGAGGAAGTTTGAATTATTCTTCCGAATAGAACCTTGGAGTCGAGTTTCGGAATGGGAGGCGCGATATGGACTTTCCCATTATGATCATCATATTCCATCATGCAAATTCAATACGAACGACAAACCTTGTAGAAAACGGAATTACTGTTGAAAGCGGTCGTACAAAGGTGGGTTCGTAGCAACGAATACGAATATGGGAATGATGAAGACAGATAACAGGTAGAGTTCGCTGGCAGAAGGAACGTCAAAGAGAGCGTATAGTAATGATGACCTTTCAACGGATGCCTGTAAGGGACCGCCGGAAGATGAAACCCTGGTCCTTCACCGTGCGTCAAGCTTGCTGATGAGCATCGTGGTCATGAGTCAGGAATATCTTATGAGGAAACTTTCTCATATCTCGGGAACCACCGACCTGTAGTGATTTCTGTAGCACGAAAGGCTGAAACCGGGGAGGGAACTGAGTCGTGTCCACGAACCATCCGAGAATAGGAGCGGAGACAGACCTCCGGCGTTTCCACGTTTTGTGTACATCGTATCTCGACGGTCCAGGTTGATGATGTTAAAGGTGTAGACTACCCGCGCAGTCATGTTCTTCACTCCGAAATAGAACCAAAAATGATGTCTCATAGTGTTCACGTCCGGGTTCAGGACTAGATCGTACTCCCGCGAAGATCGTTGAATAACCCGCCGTAAATTTCCTCCCTCGAACCGCGATTCGAACGAGAGGTCTTCGAAAAGAGGGCCGTGAGTGACGTCGTATACAACAGGAAAACGTTTCGTCGTCAGCTCCTGGTTATAGTGGGCTTTAACATGGTTCAACAGAGCCAAGCTAGAAAAAGATTGGAAATCATGCGTCAGTGTCTCACCACGGGGTATGTCAATACTGAGGCACATGGATGGGAATCCACTTCTCTCTCGGATGGAGATCGGAGAGCGGGAGCTGAGTGTTCAGTTTGTCCGAATACTTTTTTCTCTGGAGGATATTCTTGGAAGTCTCCGTCGAGACAACAGCGATGACGAGCAGGTGCAACTTACGACTCTAGGGCAGGCGACACGTTCAAGGGTTCTAAATTCATCTGCAGGTTTGATGGATTCAGCATCCAAAACTCGGCCTCTGCTACCCAGCCACCCGCCTCCATCCCCTCGGGCGGGGGGCGCACGACATCTTTGGCAAGGTTGAGCAGAACTTGCTTCCGATCAATATTTCCCAAATATGGAAGATCCTCGAGGTTGTCATCGAACGATGTGATTCGACGAAACAATTCCACTAATGAGGAATCGGAAGAATCCTGTGAAGGAAGTGGGACCTTCCGTGAATCAAGTGGGGCGATGAGTACATACGTGGAAGCTCGATAAAAAACACGCTCGAACGGAATCCATTCACCATTGAAAGGAAACAGGAGCCGGTGAGGCTTTTCTGTCACGGCCTAACCTTATTAGGTGGAGAAGAAGATAATCTCTTGTTGAAGCTTTCCCTCAACATAGTCGTATAATTTCTTGAGGTCCTTTCAATGGGCAGTCTCAGTGGAGGCAGACACCTGTAGAGGATCTCGGAGATCCCATTCAACAGGCCCTGCTGACCCGTCATGAGATCGGCCAAACTCATTAACTGGGCGCACAACGACTTGCGAGCTACTGCCTTCCGACCCATTTTGAAGGAGACCACATGAATCACGACCTGTAGGACCGCTAGCAAACAACGAATCTTCTCCGATGTACACATGCCTCCGCGTTCCAGTAACGGCAACAGCAGATCCAGCACATTCTGTTCGAGTAGCTGCATGACGCTGTTTTCTGTGGAAGACAACATCGGGATAGACTTTCAGGTCTCTCCGGGAACCGCGGAAACGATCACGGTCGAGGGAGCAGTCGGACAACTTACTGCTTCTGCTGGCCGCTGCGAGGCATTCGCATAGGAGGACCATTTCCATATCGATAACTCCTTGCTTTTTCTTCATCAACATCACGAGAGCTGGCAACAAACCACGTCTGTTCAGCAAAGTCACGTTCAGCCCTGAAATGACGCGGAAATTAGAACATGTGTAGTTCCATCATGGTAAGGGGCTCCACCGTCGTTTTCGCGTCGGAAGAATTCGCAGAAAACTCACTATTAGCAAGTACGGCTCTCAGTACTTGGAGAATGGGCTGCGTAGACATTTCTTTGGCAGCTCCCGCGTTGCTGTTGAGATCGTTAAGGGGGATGCCAAACACGCCGGTGAATCTCGCCTTCACCGAGAATAGTTTGTCGTGCACGCACACTTTCGCCAGGAGGAGATACATCTCTCGGTTTATGCTCCTCTGACGCGAGTACGCCGAGAGGAGCGAATTTAGGGCTTCCGAGTACGCGAGGGTCTGCGCGCAGCCCGCTCCACCCCTTTCGTGGGTACAGATGACCCGAAGGATCGTTATGACACCTTGCGATATCTCCGATGCATCCGGATATTTCTATTGGACGGAAGAACAGAGATCAGAGGTAAGTCCAGATGCCTCTAGGTCGAAAGAACTCGCTTCGCCCCGAAGATCGTCGCCGGGCCGAACAGAAGCCGAAACTCTCCACGGCCCCTCGTCGGCAAGATCTGATGGCGTGAGCTCTTCCTGAAGGACTTCGGAGTCAATCAAGGCCGAACAATGGGGTGCCTTCACACCACCGTCGCGGTCGAACGGGCGGCACAGACAAAATTGCTGATACTCACGTCGAGCAGGAATGCTATCCGAGTTACGAGAGCCGCTACCGGACTCACGTCCACCGAATTGCCTGGAACGAGTCGACTGTGAGGGATTGTCGCTAATTATATCTCCTTCGTACATCCGCAACGAACACGGAGCATGGGCTCGACATGGACTCGCTCGAGCACTGTACAGTGGCCCTTTCAGAGCTCTCTTCGGCATCGAGCTTGTAGCCGTCAAAAAGCTCGGAATCGCTCCCCAAACCCCAATGCATTCGCTCACCTATTCCCTGTAGGTGGTTGCGAACGGAATTGACTTTCTTCAGGACGCCCTCTTCAGAGCGTTCTAGGAGGAGTACTTCGAGATCGCTGTGTAGCTTCTCACCGGTCCTGAAAATTAAGACGCGCTCAGTTACTCGCACCGAGTCGCCTAGGAAAGTAGACGAGACCAACCCTTCACATTTTCAACATCGAGGCCCCCTCATAGTAGCAGTTGTCCTCAGCAAAGTCGAAGCCGGACGGTGACCACTGTTTTTTAACTGCTGTTTAAGCTCGGTGTACCCGTACGAGATGGGCCTTGTAGAGTTTCCACAGTACAAAGAGACCCAAAACATTGCGTGGGTTAGGAACATCGCTACGCAGTTCGAGAGTCGACTTTGCTCTTGGTCATCCGCCCGCAGCAGTTGCGGGTGATGTCTTCCCACGCTTCGAATGTCAATCGATTTGTTATGAGACAAAGGACTCTCAGGCCCGCTCTGAGCCAGCTCGGATAAGCTCCGGAGCACCTCTCTGCCATCCGAGGAACTCCGCCCCGCGAGGTATCGCTCTGAAACTCGTGTCATGGGTCTTCGCTTCCGGGGTTCGATCGAGGCCCCGATTCCTCACAGCGTCAGCTGAACGCGGAAAATAAGCCATTTGGCCGCTCGTCCGAATCGCCACAGAGTAGCGAGCTCATCATTGACCCGAGGTGGAAATTGAGCGGAATCGCACCGTTGGCGTGACGTTTGTCGGTAGGTATCGTCATTGAAGATGGAAGCACGCCAAAAGAGTATGTACGTTCTCGTGCGTTGGTTATGCACAGTTGTTTGATGTGAGCGCCTGGCGTACGCGGTCGACGGGGATGATTAACACAAATTTCGTGATTCATCAAGGTCCTGTCATCAGAGCGGTCTAAAAAAGAGTTCCCGCAATCTATTTCGGTGAGACGCTTCCTCGAAGAGAGTCAGACAATAATTAGACTTCATAGTCAAGTCTTGAACTTGCATCCGCATTGCTCGACGTGGAGGTGGCTTCCTCCCACGAACTAGGCCGTTCGAGCCGCGGAGCGACCGGAGCCGGGCAACTCCACCTCGTGGGCATCAGAAAGCTTTCTCTATCAAATACCGTTGCCCATATTGTATGAGGGCGAATCTGGGCCGTGGGATCGAATCGCGGACGGCCAGTTTCTGCTCCAAATGAGGAGCTTGCGCTCCACAACGGTGTTCGATTCGCGACCCGAAACGATCCTTCTCGCCGTGAATCATTCCACCCATTGGCAGGGGAGAAATATGAACGTCGCCATGATTTCATTTGCCTCCGCTCAGCTGCGACCAGGCAATCGTCGGAAGTCGGAGCAGGAATGTCCACAAAGACAAATGAGAGTATCTCGTATTGATTCGAGATTATCAGCTAGCTACATTCTCCGTTGCTGAGCCGCATCAATGCTGCCCGTGACAGGCTCCGGTTCAGAGTACCCGAGAGCTGGTGCCATATAAAGAGATAGCTTCTCTGTAGTCACCGCGAGTACTCGGAGTTCACTCTCCCGGCTCATTGAACTTGCTTGCTTTCCAAAACATACTGGAGCGAAGCAATTGGACGATTGCATCGGCTGCGACCTCGAACGATTGCGAGCGATGCAGATTCGGAATTCACATGGGTATTCTCGCCAGGATTGAGAACGCGACACGAGCGTCTGATGTGGTTTGTTACGGCAATCGAGCTGAGTGCTCCGCTACGTGCTCAAGACTCCGACCGAACTCGGTAGGAGCTGCTCTGTGCAGCGTGGCCGAATTTACGGAAGTCCCCAAACGACTTTGAGGATGGAGCCCCTCCGGAATAGACCGAGTTCCCCGGCCGCGACGACAGCTTGACACGAATCGGGTGATTTTTCTCGTTTCGCTAAATGCTTCCGAGTTCGAGCCTGTCGGATAACGTGTCAATGTCTTGGTCGCGAATCCCTTGATCCTCCCGAATGAGCTCCATCCATCAGGGTCGATTTCACCCTGAGCTATCGACGCGTCGGAACGGAAACTATCGCGAAGATCCTTGGTTCCGATTCGGAGGGTTTTCCGTGTCCCATCCCTCATATCTAAGGATGACGTCTCCGCGATGGAACTACCGAAGTACCTAATGGGTGGAAGTTTTGCTGGAGATGGAGCACAGTCGAGCTCGAGCAGGATCCCGCGAATCGAACCTCACTTTTTAGCTACCACTGGACTGCTGCAAGCTTTCTGGAGAATTTTCGAACGGCTCTGCTGGAAGGCGCTGCACACAAGAACTCCGCCATATGGACCCATACGGGCTGAGCTCACGGGAAAGATCTCGCGGTCGGGCCGGCAGACTTCGTTATGGGAAATCCTCACAGAGCACAAATCGCACTTCGAATGAAGTTCGAACCAGCGGGCTCGTCGTCCCACCACCGGGGATGGTTGTCGATAGCTCTCCGACTTCAACCAGACAAGAACAGCTGACTTTGAGAGAGCTTCACGAGAACTTCGAGAGACATTCTGCTGCCTATTCGCACGGAGCTCAAGACTCACGCGCTGGCGAGCGAGCGAACTCGCGCGCCCTCACTGACATCTCAGCCAGCTGCTGCGAGGGCCTAGTACATGACGTCAGTCACTCGATAATAGAATTGAAGTTTTGATAGGCTTTGACAGATGCATCGAATGAACACTGGCGACATCCGAGACAGGAGGTTTCCGTTCGATTCGATGCTCGTAATTCAATGCTAATCGTTTGGTGAATTTTCATCCGACGCCTTTGTCAGGCGCTCTCTTTGTATTCGGGAGCTCTATTTCCGGACTCACGAGACCAGAGCGAGACTTCCAAAAACAGCTTCCTGAGACGATCGCCAAGAGAATATATGAGAGAGTAATCTCTCAGAGTCGTCGAATCCTCCTCCAAGAACTTCTGGGAATGACTCGATTGGCATATGCAGCAACTATTGGCCGAAAATGACGAGGGAAGCATGATCGACACTACACAGTCCGAGGCCACCGGCAAAAGATTGATACATAGCGCGGAGGACGCGACTGTTCGACCGAGTGAGACTCGTGATAATATGATCAAAGCTGTCAGCTGGCGCGTTGAGAGTTCACCGGATGGGAAGGTCTAGACCACGGCTCTGCCATTTTTCTCTATTTCGTGAATCTCGTTGTTCCCTGTAAATTATCTCCCACGAGACGGACGGACGTTCGGTCGGTCGCGCGAGCGAGTATATTCCGAGAAGTGAATTGGGCGAGAAAGCACAACACAACTGTCGTGGCTTCAACACACCCGGCGCGGAAGAGTGCTTTCTAAATATAATCGACAAAATATATGGGAAGTGTCCTACGGTGTCGGGAGTACCGATCTTGAACTCGACAAGAATCGAGTTGCATTAGGTGGTGGCGGCGGTGGTGGTGATGGCGGCCGGCGCGAGCACGTCCGTTGAATGTACCATTCTTCAATCTGTCTTCGTGTTGGGAAGCTGCGCTTTAATCGCTTTGCTCTGATGCTTTTGCGAGATTCCCACTCGTGACCAAATAAGGCGCGTTTAGCCGGTAGTACGATGAGTGCGTACGATTGTGAGGTAAGTATTAGTCGACATCGACTTCGAATGCCAAATTCTCGCGGCGACCGCTTCGTCCGAGCGATGCCTAGGTTAGCGTTGATGTTGCATTCGGGTCCGTGTGTCTGACTGAGTGCTTGGTTTGTTAGCTGGCTACCTCTCTGTCAGTAGTGGTTAAGCTCATCTCAGCTTCACCACGCTCACCGACATCGTGGGAGTCTGAAGGCCGCGGCCGTCCAGTTCGGCTGAGCCATAAATTACCGAATATTTCTGTTGGATCTCCAATTAATATTCTGACGCACTCTCTCCTCTAGACTCCTCAGCCCGGAATAACGACGAAGACAATGACGTCTCGAACGCCGTAAACGACAGCGTACCGACCCGGAATCGGAAGTGTCTCAACGGCGACGTCCCAACGAGGTATTCAGTAGCCTTCAAGCTCCTGCCCTCGAGGAAAAAGGAACCACTCCGATTCGACGCGATGAGAAATCCCCTCGTTTCCCGGCTCTCCGTTTCGATTGACGTCACCTTGGAGACAAGATCATAGCTGACTCAGTAAGAGATATACATACATAATTGCCGATATAATGAAAAGGGCGGAAAATCTCCGCGAGGAAGGGTCATCCGTCTTTTCGGCGAAGGTCGTGCTCGGTGCTTGAGACTCCACTGTGAGTGAATCGGGACTCACGTCGCCGTCCAACATAATATCTGTACGGCCGCGTTCCGGGCCCGACGCCAAGGTCATGTGCATGATGATCTGCGATCTGGGACATGCTGCATAGCGTGTTCTGACACGTATCGTTCCTCTTTCGAGAATACGGGCAGGGCCTCATACATCCATACATACATACATACGGCAAAAGTATTCAGACTCCGACGGAGCCTAACCCCAAACCGCCCTGACTAGTTCGCGATTTCGACCGCAAGGAGAACTCCCAGACAGTTAGGAAGACCATGCCGGAGCCCATTGTGAAAACTTCCCGTCTCGGGGCCCTAGATCTCGCATCACGTAATTCGTTGCGCATACAAGCGATCGGAGACGATCTTTGAATGAGTTTTTTGTTATACGTTGGAGTCCTCTAGGCTTTTACCGAGCTACGCCTCTGGTCGAAAGCAGCATGAGAGGTGTCGAGGGGCAGAGCGTAGTTTTTCCTTCCTATCCGATGTTAGGACAATCTTTGGATGAGGAGGCAACGACGGAAGCACGGTCGTCTGACAGTGCTCGTAGGCTGAGCGCGAGAGTCGGGAAGTGCCTTAGAATAGGTCGAGATAACTTCCAAGAAGGAGAAATGTGTTGTTTTTTTGCTGACATTGTATGAACTTGGCTCAGAGGAAGAGATGGGATTGATGGCAATCGTGATAGGCAACCGCATGTACAGAGCGTAGGTGTGGGTATGTTCTTCTTTCTATCTGAGTGATGGCGAGCCTGCGTGGGCTTCGCATGACAGGCGGCTAGGAACACTGGACACTACGGCAGCATCCGGATTTTATTTTTACCATCGAGCGAAGACGATTTTTGACGCACATATCTAAGTATATTATTCTTCCGTTTGGATCCCCAGGCTGCAGTTGATGATCTGCCTCGCGCCTACTTTCGAGAAGCATCCCGCTCCGGGAGGGGTCATGATTCTCGGTCATAATCTGGCGTCGGGTAGGCGTGATGGAATATCAAAGACAGACAGAACAAGTCGAGACTTTCAGAGACATCGCCAACAGGTCTCCGTATTATTTTTGAAGTCATTGTTACCGCTCTGTCACGAGACAGCGCGAGGCATGAAAAACCTTCGCACACTCACGACTCACGAACAATGCAGCGTCTCACCTCTACGATGAAGAATCATTCAAAGTCTATCAACGTGTGAAATCCATCTCACCCAGTGCTCAGGGGAGTCAGCAAGATGGTAAGAGGGCCCAAAAATCAGACCTCGACAGAGGGAGGCATGTGAAGCCACAAACCAGTGTGATCAGCTCAGGATGGGCAAACGAATCCGACTGACTGTTCACGGCATGGTCCGGCGACGGATCACCGTAGGATCAGAGTCCGAATCAAAAAAGTAAAGGTAGAAAACAGGAAAGCGTGAAACCTCCATGTTAGAGGTAATGACCTCAGTAATTTTCGGAACGTGCGCGGACCTTCGGTCGAGTGTCCGCTCATCAATCTGGCGAGTGAGATCACTGCCTGCAATCGCCTTCGCAGCGATCAGGACGGCTGCGTGTTCCGAGCGTTCGAGAAATTTATCGGCGGGCGCGTCGTTCGCTGCGAGTTCAGGATGTTGGTCGGGCACGCCGCTGGGGCATAAGGGTAGGTACTGGCATAGCCTCGAGCCGCCTGTTCAGAACGCACTCGCCATCGGAGAAAAACATTTCATCATCTTTGAGTACACATCCCAAAGCATCCGCACTCTATCAAAAGAAAGAATCTGGTGGACTTCTCTCCCTCGAGAAATTAACAATTGTCGAACAGCTCGCGTGCTCTGCACTCAGCCTTCGAAATCGAACAATGCGTCCCAGCTTTTGAACGCTCACCTGATTTAGAGTGTGTTAGAGGGCTCGAACCCCGGATAGGACATTTCGCGCTGGGTTTGCACTTCTGCATAGACTACCAGACGTCTCGCGGGGCCTTCGAGGCCTCGATTCAGAAGTTGGAAAGGAAATCTACTCACGTTGCGGACGACGTCGACGGTGACTTCGGCGACATGGTGAAGGCCTTCGAATCTCTCCTCTGAAGTGACAGAGATCAGCGAGTTCCTCGATCGCGGTTGTGGACGTTGTTGTATTCGAATGTTTCGGGAGTCACAATGTCATGACACCAGGGAGGAATGAGCGCGCAAGCGGCGGGTGGTGGCGGCGGTTGTGCTTGTTCTCAGGGTACAAGACCACCCTGACTACTAGATTATAGTGTTGTGACTTGCGCTGGCGTCAGTGCCTCTCCATCCCATCTGACTGACTCGCTCGGCTACTTAATACTGCTGACCACAATGAAAACTGTCGCGCTTTAATTGAAGACTCTTGACTCGTTCAGTGAACGAGAGCCAGGAAGGTTCGTCACGAGCTCTCCGACAGATTCGTTCAGATTCGGTTTCCACTCGATCCTCGCATCCCCTTCGTCGACCGACCGTCTCTGGTTTTCTAGGTGGGTCCGGGCTCGCTAAGTCCAGCCATGGATTCGAAGTTTCTTTCTATCGGTGGCACTTCATCATTCCAACCAATGCCTGAGGCAGCCGAATAAATTCGAGTTTATCCTCCGCATGTCTCGATCACGATCGCAGTCCACTGGAGTAGTCTGGTTCGGAGAAGCTACTGCGACCAGATGATCGCTCTAAAGCGGTAGATACACGCAGTGGTAGAAGCAGCGACAGTGGCAGCGCTTACTTTAACGAGCGTTCTGTTCCCGAGGAGAGCGCCAACAACAACACCATTCAATCGTTCTACTGCACTTCTATGCTTTCATCGCACTAGAACAGAGCAGGTTTCGCAGAATTTTCGATGTAAACACTACTTCTGCTTCGTCGTTTATCGCGATGATGAGCTCTGGAGCTGAACTCTCTCCGGAGTTTTCCTTCTCCCTTGAGAACCACAATTTCGCTTCTCTGACACTGTCAACCCATTCAGATCCATTGGAGAAGCACAAGAGCGAAGGGACCTTTCGACAGCTAGAACTGCTGCTGCAGTCAACCAACACACTAACCAACCCAGCCAGGCAGCCAGTCAAAAGCAACCAACAACACACGAAGACAGTCGAAGTGGAGAGAGCCACCGGAGGAAGAGGGCGTCAAGGACAGCACTAGTGACAGCGACGATCCAAATTTGAATCCAACGCGCCAAGATCGACAGCGTCGACATCAGCTGGTTGGGTCCCGAAGGGAACGACGCAAAGATGGTCTGAGCGACGTCGCGTCGTTCGCTGTGACTTCGCTCGTGAGTCGAGCTGTCAATCACAGACAATATGTTTCACGCTTCGAATGCTTGCTGCGACTTTTTTCAATGTTTCAAAGTGACTTCCTTTGGTTATATCGTAGTAATTCACGTTTGACATAGCTCTCTGACTGTCTGAGAGGAGGAGTGGGACCGCTTCCACTGTCGTCACCCTGGCTGCGAACCTCGGTCAGATCGGTTTGACATCGTCAAGTCACGGGTCAAGACGGTGAGAATCTGCCCGCTCAAACCCATCGAAGATTAACGGCTCTTACCGAATGGTCTGTGACTCAGTCAGCCCGTCAGCCTCAGTCAATCAATCAGTCGAAGTTAGCTCAGACTCGACTCAAATCGCTCAGACAGTCACCTGACATCGTGGCAATGAACAACTGTCATTCTACCTACTATCAGCTGCGATAGATGAGACTTTTCCTGAGCAGATTCCGAACATTGTGCCGGCCTATCAGCCTGTTCCGGGGTTTTCTGAAAGACGAAGCTCCGCTCGGCTCAACTAGGATGCATTGCTTTATTTCTCAGATATCCGGTATATATTCGATCATATTCCAAAGAAATAACTATACAATGATAACCGATCGATAAGCACTCGGACGTGCGTGTAGACAATCTGCCTCCATAAGTCTATTGCCCTCTCGAATTGGTACTCAGAGAGAGCTTCTGACCTCAGCGTTCAGCCTCAAGTGCTCGCCGAGATCGGAGGCCAACTCCCAACACTTGATATCCTGAGTAAGAATCTCCAAGCGTAACATGAACTCGGAGGAATTCTTATAACCGTAAAATTTCCACTCTCTGTACTAAAATTGCATCCAATCAAGCGATGTCATCCGTCTGATATCGGATTCTCATCGTCCTTACCCAGAATCCAAAAGGGAATCGCTCTCAACTCTTGTCCGGAAATAGACAAGAGCTCACACCAGAGTCTCGAGCTGTTGACTCTTGAGGCAGTGCTAGAAAGTCTCTGGAATCCGCGGAAACCGCTTCGTCCGGAGCGATCGCGTAGGTGACTCTTCCGAGAATTTCGGACCAGAACGATCTTGAACCAGCGGCGTCGAGACCCGCGACCGGGACGCCGCTTTCATTGATACGGAGCAGATCATCGACCAACTTGAGACAGAGTGCATTGTGGTCGGACCCAGATGCTGTCCGTGGATGAGGATTTGCGGTGAACGTCGAGTCGAACTCTGAGGATGCGAGGCGGGTCTAGTTTTGTCAGCTCATACGACTTCCTGGAAATCTCTCCCAATGGGTAGGAAAGTTTTCTCCGGCGTCGGCTCCATAGGTACTCACTCGAAGAATTCATACAGCCCAACGGTTTCTCGGGGGGAGTCGCGAAGTTCGTTCCTTGATTTAATTCGCTTTCGAAAAAAGTGTCTCCGGCTTCGATACGCGTAATTTCCAGCTCTGGCACTTCGAAAGCAGAGCTCGCCAGTGAGATCGAAGCTTGATGAAAAGTTCCGGCGCCTGCGCCATCGCAGGCGGCGTTTCTCGGCTCATCGAACTCTCCGCTCCCAGATAACATGGAGCTCCGAAAGTCCAGCCAAAAGGGCTCATCCACATGGGGCTTGACGATTTTCGCAAGCTGATCCAATCTGCGAGGGAACGGAGAGCTGTAGTCTATACGAGGTGCATTGCAGGGCTTCACTCCCGTATCCGAAACAGTCCCGGTCATCAATCGCATCAATTTGCTCATCGTACCTCTGTTTACGAGCTTCCACGTGGAGGAGGAAGTTTTCTTCCAAAACTCGGCGTTCTCTCCAAGCCAATCGTCGCGCATCGATCATAGAGCGAACTTTTTCAACCATATCGGTCAGGCTGGAAAGTTCAATGAGCTCCTTGATCGCAGAGTCTGAATGAGGAAGAGCGTCTCGTGCAGTCAAGGTCAGTGCTGTTACCGTCGTACATCACGTTATTCAAATCGAGCTCCTTCGCCGGGCAATCGGTGGAGCGCTCGGGCTGCTCAGCACCGTCATTCGAAGGGCTGAAATCACAAGTGCTCTGTCAGATTCTTGCAACGAGAATCTCTCATGGAAATCTAGGAAGCTAGGAAGATTGAGGCGACCCTACGATCAAGAGATGTCCGGAAACCTGAATCCGCAGGCCTGACTCCCAAGATCACGGCTCCCAGACCAGTGAGGGAATCCCACTAACCATTGTTCCTGATCGAGCATGCTTGGACTTCCCGTAGGAAAATTCTGGGTAGCTTCTCAACACAAATCACGATTCGGAGAACCGTTCTACAGTGCTCGGCGGTGCGCCCTCACCCTATCAGTGCACGTAGACGAATCCTCCTGACGCGCATTTGCGTGTTCGAAGCGACGAGACGCTGGCGGGAGTCGGGGGTTCTCGATGCTCGAACGCATTGAGGATAATCTCCATTTGCCGGAATATGAATATGGAAATATCTCGCTTTGGCTACGGGCCCCGCAAACTAAATCAGCTTCGGATCACAGGAATCATGGAAGTAATGATCGAGTAATTGGTGAAGTAATTATACGGTTCCTGTCCAGGAGAGTAATCAGCATCATCAGAGGACGAGACATCCGACGAGACACTCCTGTTCGCAGACTCATCGGGCACTTCACCTGAGAGAAGGAGCCCTCCGTGAAATCGTCGGAGAGACTTGTCCTAGCACAATCTACATGGCTAGAGCTAGGAAAATCGTCCCGCCTTTTGCTCTAGATGCTGGAGTCGTGCGATGCCTTCTCCGTAGAATACCCATACTCGGTGCCGCCTGAGGCGCTTCGCCGCCCCCCGTCTAACTATGCTACTGACTATGGAGGCGCTCAGTCAATCAAACTCCGAACACCCCGACCGGGGACGGAGCGCGCGATGGCTTAGGGAAGCGAGTGCCTGATAGACTGAAGTCTGGAGGCTACGGAGCGGTGTCATCACGAGAGATCAGCGATTCGAGTCGTAGAGATAAAAATCCTTTCGCATTTTCCACATTTCCACGACATTCTCCGCTTATGCTCCTTGGGGGGATTATTGCCCTCTGGACACTGGGAAGAATTATCTTTCGGGAAGTCTCCAGCGCGATGTTCACGCGGAGGCGACTCCTCGCTCTGCCTAGATGAGCCTACGAGTCATTCCCCGATTCGCGGCACGGAAGTACTGAGCCATGAGTTTTTTCTCGAAGCTACCTACGTGGCGATCCTGATCATGGGATTACCACTTTCAACGCATACCGTATTCGTTCTGATAGAGTGGCATGCCGTTCTATCCTTCGATTCCGTCATCAGGCGTCGGTCTACTGGAGCATGCCGTTCTATTGGAGCATGCCGCTCTATTTTTCAATCCCCCATCGGATGGGCGGTCCCTATTAGAGCTGATGGAGCCTACCCGTGTTTTTTCCAAAAATGAGTATTCAAACGATCTCTGCCTTCACTTACGATGGATCGTTTTGAATACCCTTGATATCTTCACGGAATCTAACAATTTGTACCCCCTTCCCTCAAGTTATTTTCCTCTGCCGTTCCATTAGAGCATGCCGTACT